TGAAAACTTTTTGGATCAAGACATCCGGTCTCATTCACTTCCATTGTTTTTTAGAGGTTAAAATCAGCTCGCTGTTCTGCTTTTGATGTTGCAAACAAATCTTTTCCTATTTTATTATGCTACATTTTATGCATAGTCATGAACAAACTTGTTTGTAGAACAACTAGTTTGACCATTTTCTGCAGTTAATTATTCCTAGTCATTTCTCCCATAGGCAACTGGATCTTAAGTGCTAAAACAATCACTAAAATGAGTGCACTTCCACAATGAAGAATAAGGTCAATAACTCGGACATTGTTCCTGGGCTCCTTCAGCCATAATAAAGACTAATGAAGAAGGTAATGAAACAAACTAAATAAAAGTGAGAAATAGTTCCAGCTTTTTCGCTTGCTTTTCTAGCGCTGTATTCTTAAATACTGCTGATTGGGCTTAGTGCTCAGCAGAATACACACATTACATACATACACAATTGGCCACTTAATGTGTCTCACACATCAGGCAAAGACAGTGCTGCACACTTTAGTAAGGGCCCATTAATACAATCATTTCAATGGCTGTTTGTAGCTTTGCCAACTAAAGTGAATACACAGTTAATGAGCTTGCATGCACAATGCAGTCATAATTCAAAAGTACCCGTGCATTTAGCGTTTAGCGTGAAAGAGCCATACGGACACGGATAGTGTTGAACACAATAGTGTTGAAAGACGTCTTTGAGTAGATGTATATGAGCTTGACGCAGCTTTTAAATGTTCCAGTGAACGATTTCAGAGCTATAAACAACTACTGCTGACCACTGGCTGGCTGCATATCTATGTGTACAGACACACCCTAAATGTCATTTGCAGTCACACTTAGGTTATAATTTATAACTTAAACTATACGTTTAAATCAGAATATTGGATATGTCCTTAAAAATCATATCACCATTATCTAAAAAAAATTGATTGCGATATATATTAAGAGTTGATTATTGTCCAGCCATTATTTAAACAAAGTGAAAGCATATCCAAGAACACGATAATCTAGACCCATGGAAAGCTGAGCAGGAACAAGTGCATATGTCACATGCATGAAGGTGAACACCAGACAAAGAACAAGTGAAAACGCTGAGGTTAAATACACAAGATAACATAGAGAGGGTGAAGCTAATCAATTGCTGCACGGGTAACCATATAGTAGGAGCAAACAGTGAGTGCAAAGCCAAAGGGGAAACAGGTGCTTCATCTAAAATCAGATACCTTAAGGGATAGTTCACCCAAAAATGACAGTTTATTCACTATTTATTTACCCTCAACTGGTTCCAACCGGTTTTAGTCAACTCTTTTTGACTAAAAGAAGATATTTGGTAGAAAACCAGTAACTATGATCTCCATAGTAGTGTTATTGTAAGTGTCAAAATATTGTCTTTTGTGTTTCACATCTTTTTAACAGTTATACGCTAAACATATCTGTTCCTTTACAGTTTCTGTATTTTGTGATTCAGTGTTTTTTGTTTTGTGATAGTGTTTTTCATTTATTTATGCTTTTAAAATACATTATGGGAGACTGGTCTTTCTTCCAACAACTTTTAACCTAGAAAAGCTTGAAAAAGTTTATTTTATTAACATTTTTATAGGTGAAAGTGATATATTGTCTGGGATGGTGTTGTATATTACCCTACAAAAACCTTGTAATAAACTGCCAGTAAATGTTCTTTTATTTTACAGACTCATTTCTCTATATATTATTTCTCATATTATTTTAAACTATTAAAATGTGTAGAAAAGTTCCTTTGTTAAACTGTAGAATTGAATTTTCAACATTTAAAGTCAACAGAGTAGAGATCAAGGTCCCATAATGCAATTATTGGTACAAAATAGGGTGCAAAATGTGAAAACTGTAAATTGAAAGATATTATTTATGGTGGATAGTTGTAACGGTAGGCACTGGACAATGGACTTGAGGATTCACAAGCAGTTTATTATGAGATTTGTCCGGCAGTTAATGGTCAAACACAGGAGCAAATGAGTACATAAAGGTAATCTTAAAGGCAAGTAACAAGCAAATGGTTGATAGACGTAGGTGGCAGACAACGTAAACAAGGGAACAAGGCAAGAATCAAACACGGAAAGACTATAAACAGGAAATGCTAATGTTACAGGGTATAATCAATAACAATCCATGTGAGTCAATTCATTCTGAGTCAGCTCCCAGCCATGTGTGTGTATAATTAACGGGGATTCCTGAACAGGTGTGTGTGTGTGAGGTGCATGACAGGATATGTAGTTCTTAAAGTGACAAAATTGTAGCCCGGGTAAAATTACATGAGTTTACTAGCAATCTGCAAACCTGGATCGCTATTGATTATGGGTCTGTTCTTCGTACCTTGATTAAATGATCTAAGATAATTTGGCAGATCAAGGATCTTTTAATCTAGATAACTGATCTCTGGCCCATCTGGTTCTTCAAACAAGCTCCTGAATCAGAATAAATTGTCTGGATGAATTGTTCTATTATCCATGTGAGCAAAATCACATAAAAGTCGTAGTAAACGGTTTGTTAAATATGATACGCAATAACTTTCCACCTTTGTTGTGAGCTGCAGGCTTTACACTTTAATGTGTCAAGAGTGTTTAGCTATTTATTTATTTTTATATTTAGAGTGGGTTTTATTTATTAAAGTCCCTTAGGTTTCTTAATTTGACGTAAAAACTTGATGTTTAAATTATTTCTCCATCAAAAAAGCAGTTTGATATCGGTAAAGGTGTCTGCAACTTTTGCAAAGCATCAAATCACCATCAAATTAGCTTTCAAAACATGGTCGTGACTGCATAATTTATTATTCCTTTAAAAAAAACTGTAGAATATTGTGTATGTCTATTCTCATAGACAAATTGTAATAAAGCTATGTTCATAATTTTAAATTGTACTCGTTTGTTTCTAAAAAGTCCATAAACATTCTCTTTGAACCTCTTAAGGAGAACCTCCCTGTGTCAGGTTTTGTACTTTTATTTTGGAGTGCAGATTACAAAATTTATTTAAATATATTTTTAAACTGTATATATTATTAAACCATTTTACTATTTTCCCAAGCGTATATAACCTATAGGTTACTACTGTAAGAAAATATCAGCATACGGTACATACTTTCAGTATTGCCTTTGCTTGAAAAGACCAGATCTAATCCTGTTTATATGACATAAACCTGCTCCCGAACAGGTTTGAGCTGCCAGAACTGTTGCTATGACTCTTAGATGACTTTTGAAGAACAAAACGATTCTTAATCTTGTCAAATAGTCAATAACCAAATCCAGCTAATTGAGTAATCCACGCACAAAAAACCTTGTGACAATAGTATTTGCAAACAGTAGGAAGATTTACTTGGATAACTTAATTCCTACACTGAGATTCTAAAGTGTGCATTAGTTGGACACATTACTTTTAACATTTATGAATAGAAACTAGTATAAATAAATTAAATGGCGATTGACGCTGGTAGATCATCCAATAATGAAACAAAATTACAGATGACATACTTTTGAGTTTTATTTGCTACCTAATTTTGTACCACAGTATTTACAATGTGATTTTTAATAGTTGTCAAGAAAGTTTTATTTCAAATGTAAAAAAAATACATAAGCAAAGAAACAATAAAAACACTTATGAAAGTTAAACAAATTATCATCGCAAATTGAGAACCTCTTATTTTATTTTAATAAAGTAAGCAGATTTCTTTGAAGTTTTCTGTGACATGATTTAATAGGCTATTAGGAAATGACCCTTAAAAATGCAGCACTTCTGAATTTTATTCATGCTACTTTTTTTGTTCATATAACAATACATAGATTGCCCTTTTTAATGGTCATGAAGGAAGTTCTAATTCAAATATAAAACTTACTCAGAAAGGACATGATTAAGTCAGGAAATGAGCACATAAACAAGAACAGAAAAAACACTTACAGCATGAGACATGACAAAGAAATCATAACAAATCGGGAACCGCTATTTTATTTATGCAGAAGAATGCAGATGCCTGTGACACTTTTTGGGACTGATTTGACTCATATGATTTACATGGAAGTTAAACTGATTAAAAATAAACAAATAAAAATTAGCAAAAAAAAAAAGGCAAACGGAAAACATGTGTTTAATATTAAAATAAACTAACATCATAACTAACTGGTCCTATTAACAACAATTAAAAAAACTAAACAATAAAAAAAAACACCAAGTAAATAATAATAATTATTATTATTAATATTAGCTTGAATATACAATATACACAATGAATGTAATCCTGCTAACTGACCAAAAAATATAATATGTGAGCTTATAATTACAATTATATATATATAATTAAATAATAATTATTAAAAGCCTGTGTGCTGATCTGCAGAGGAACAAGGGCATTTCAGCACCACCTACATGTGTATAAGGAACTTTAAAGTCATTTAAACTAAAAAATCTAGCCAAAAGCTTGTGAGCAAAAGCAAAGCAAAACCGAAAACAGCCATTTTCTTAATTTTCCTCTTTTTTTTTTTTTTTGAAAATGGATAAAGAATGGATGAAAGATACCCTGATTATTTATTTGTGTGGCTCAAAAAAATAAATAAACAAACCGAAAATAGAAAATGGGAAATTAGCATTTTTTTATAAAGTCTAACTTCTTATTGTATTACACATTTAGAACAAGAATGTAAGGATATTAAAGATCATAATGGAGCTCCAAAATACTAAACAATAATGATTTTTAAATATTTATAATTTACCACTGTCATTTATTTCTAATGATTACAAAATTAAGTGATATGAAAAATAACTGTATTGTATTATTTATTTCTGTCCGTTTTTGAGTTGCTGCCCATTAATTAAAAGCCGCTGTTATATAAAAATGACCAATAAAATCCAGCACAATCCTGCAAAAAATTATGAACAGTAAACTATATGGGTGTTCAAAACATTTCAAAACATAATACACTTACACAAGTGAGAAACGGACAATTGTGTTCTTTTTCCCCCAGATGGGCTCAGTGGGAATCACAGAAAATGTAAAGGGAGACATCAAGAAGTTTGAAATCTGGTACAATGGCAGAGAAGAAGTTTACATCATTCAGGTATGATTTTTTTGTAGTCTAAATAATAATAATAAATAAAAAATCGAGAGGTGTCTGTATGCAGACCTGGTGCTGTGCAATCTACTCTGCATTGCAATGCTTTTTAAAGCACTCACCTAACCCCACCCCTAACCCTACCCGTCACAGTGACGCAACTCCCTCCATTAAGTGCATTTCATCGCTGAGTGATGCAATCTCAGCTTGCATTATAAAGCCTGCATCCAGATACTATTGAAAAAATCAGAGTTGCTGGGCAACTTAGAAATGCCCTATCAGCATCTATTCTATATTGTTATCATGTTATTCCATTTGTTATCCATGAGAGGGAACTGTTGTCCCATAACAGGATGGTTTTCCCTTGTCCCAGCATATGTCTGTTCATGTCTTTTCTGTCAGGCCCCGTCCATGGACGTGAAGAACACGTGGGTATCAGAAATCCGCAAAGTCTTAACAAGCCAGCTGGAAGCCTGCCGAGGTATTTCTTTGCAATCCTCCCAAACACTCCCCATCAGTCTCGGGATGAACTAAACTTGAACTAAAACAGCCATTTAAGGCCAACATTAATTGTAAACTCCATATGACATCCTTAAACAAACCTTCACCCTTCAAAACCTTACACGTTTCATCTCAGTGCTTAGAAACAGCCAAAGAGATTGGGCTTTGCTGTGAGTCTGATATCTGATGTCTGTTTATAAGGCTAAGATGTTTCTGAAGATTTCATGGTTTAAAGGTTCATTGGTATTGAAATTATCATCAAAGACCAAACAAATCCTGAAGGTTTTTTTGTGGTCATGCTTTATCCTGTATATAGTATATCAACATTGACTAGCCTTTGTATGACCCCCCTCTCTCTCTCTCTCTCTCTCTCTCTCTCTTGTTCTCTCTCTTGTGGCACAGAAGCCAGTCAGCTCCATCAGAAGATTACAGAGAACATCTACCATGCCCCCATGAGGTACCTTTTTTTGCAATCATGCATAGTTAAAAGGTTAGTTCACAGAAAAGGGATGTTGAAAAGTTCATTCAAAGTCCGTTCATCTTCAGAATACATATTAAAATTATGTATTATTTTTGAAAAACACTGTACAAGCCATGATCTTAATGAATTCAAACAAAAACTGAGTCCCTCTACTCCTTTGAATTTACAGCTTCTTAATGTAGTTAACCAGTTGAAAGCTACACTTTTTAACAAAGCACCTGGTCAAGATGGCACTTGCGGAATAACACCTAAACACTGTGCAGAGCAACTCAGTGTAGTATTTCATTCATTGTTTCAGGCGTCCCTGAATCAAGCAGTGGTTCTTCACTTTTGAAAAACATCTAACATAATACCTATTCCAAAGAGAGAGAAATCAAATTCCTTTAATGATTTTAGGCACATAGCCTTAACAGTCTTGGTTATGAAAGCCTTAGAGAGGGAGGTTAAGTTACATCCGCTGACAGAAACTGATCATCTGTTGAATTCTTTGCAGTTTGCATATCGCACAAAAAGATGTCTAAATGATGCAAAGCTTTTCCTTCTAAATACTGTACATCAACACTTAGAGAGTAGAGGTGTTCTGGCAAGAATGCTATTTGTGGACTTCCTCGGCATTTAATATTGTGAACCCTTTTATTTTAGCAAAGAAACTTGGAGATGAATTTGATGTGAGTCATGGTTTGTTTTTATGGATCTTGACCTGCAGGCAGCAGAGAGTCGTGTTGAACGGAGTGCTTTCAGACATGCTTTCTACATCAATAGGATCTCCGCAGGGTTGTGTACTGTCCTCAATTCTTTTTATATTATACACAAGTGAATGTCTTATAGCACTAAAGACAATTGTCATATAATCAAATATGATGACGACACAGTTTTAAAAAAAAATTAAATCCTTGTTAACAATTACAGATTGTTCTGATGGCGTTAATCATAATGAGTTTTTTAAGTGTTGCAAAGAAGCTGAACTACAACTGAGTATCACAAAACCGAAAGAGATGGTAATTGATTTTAGAAAAAAATGCATTAGAAGTGAAACCAGTGTGTTTTAACGGAAAACAAGTTGAAAGAGTACAGAAATATAAGTATTTAGGGACAATATTTGATACCAAATTAAAGTTCCAGCAGAATTCAGAAGCTGTTGCTAAGAAAGTGCATCAGAGAATGTATGTTCTTAGAAAACTGAACTCTTTCTGTGTAGAAAAACTTATACTGAGAACTTTTTATAACACCTACTGTTGAAGTCAGAATTATTAGCCCCCCTGAATTATTCGGCCCCATGTTTATTTTTTCCCCAATTTCTATTTAACGGAGAGCAGATTTTTTTTCAACACATTTCTAAACCTAATAGGGTAACACTTTATAATAACTACACACTATAAATCATTTATTTAGCATTAGCAAATAGTGAACTCATTATCTGTTAAGCATTAACTCTACATTAATAAACATTAGTAAGCAGTTTATAACTGCAGCTACAAAATCTCTATTCTTGACTTATAAGCACCTATATAATGTGTTTAATGATTGTATTTTCATACTTAGTTAATGATTTATATTTCATTAATAAATTAAGTATCGCATTATTTACAAACCAGTTGTATTTAAGAGTAGTTGAGGGTGTTTAGGATCATTCAGAATGAGTTAGTAAATGATTAATCAACTATTGAAATCAACGTTTATATGTCTTATTATTCAGGCATATTCTAATGGTTACTATATATGATAATAAATGCTTTATTAACTCAACATTATGCAGTTTTGTGACTTAATCTAAAGTGAGGACTATTCATGCTTTATAAATCCCTTATAAATGACAAGTAAAGGCTCAGTTAAATTCTTAACAGGAAGAATGACATTATTCATTTCTATTCATTTAAAGATACACAAATGAAACTGTAATGCAGATGAAACATAAATCTTTGCAACCTGATCTAAAATAAAATCACTGTAGAGTTTAAACATTGCATCTTATTTTATTGTTTACTTATTATATTGTTGTTGTTTTATCCAGTTGGATGTCTTATTTTGACACTCCTGTTATTTGGCAAAGTTTAAACTTTACAGTAATTTTACTTTTTAGAAAAGATTGCACAGATTATCGTTTATTTGATTCTGAGCCTTTATTTGTCATTTATAAGGGATTTATAAAGCATAAATAGTCCTCACTTTAGATTAGCTCACAAAACTGCATCAAGTTGAGTTAATAAAGCATTTAATATCATTTTAGTTAACTATTACTATATGCCTGAATAATTTCTAATTATAAATGTTGATTTCAATAGTTGATTAATCATTTACTAACTCATTCTGAACAATCCTAAAAACCCTCAACTACTCTTAAATACAACTGGTTTGTAAATAATTCGATACTTAATTTAGTAATGAAATATAAATCATTAACTAAGTATGAAAATACAATCATTAAACACATTATATAGGTGCTTATAAGTCAAGAATAGAGCATTTGTAGCTGCAGTTATAAACTGCTTACTAATGTTTATTAATGTAGAGTTAATGCTTAACAGATAATATGTTCACTATTTGCTAATGCTAAATAAATGATTTATAGTGTGTAGTTATTATAAAGTGTTACCCATAATAGTTTTAATAACTCATCTCTAATAACAGATTTATTTTATCTTTGCCATGATGACTGTAAATAATATTTGACTAGATATTTTTCAAGACACTTCTATACAGCTAAAAGCGACATTTAAAGGTTTAACCCTCTGGGGTCTGAGGGTGTTTTGGGGCTCTGGAGAAGTTTTGACATGCACTGACATTTGTGTTGTTTTCAGTATCTTCAAAACATGTAAATGTCTAAAGTGTAATAACACTGCAAACAGCACAAGTTTGGCTACCAAAATATCGAAGCAGAATGTTTGTATGTGTTTGTGTTTTTGAGAAAGAAACGTTTATGCGTGGTGAGTGAAAAACTAAAAAATTTAAGTCATTGAAACAAGGCCATTGTTACGTGATGGGATGCTGTAACATTTAACTGAGACAGGTGTAATGTGTGCGACAGATCAAGAATGAGGCAAAGATCAATTACTCTTATTTAAGCTTTTTACTCAATAATTGAAACAATATGTAACCAATAATAAATGGGGGACAAAAAGGAATAATTATTATCTTTAAACAAAAACAACGAGTGTAAGCCAAATCAAAGAAATTAACAAAACAAAACAATCCTTAAATCTAAAGTCTAAACTAGGCGTCAAAAAGAAACACAAAATAAAAATCGAGATCTTCAGTGTATACGAAACCCGAACTAAACTAATTAAACTACAAAACTCAAAATGCACAGGTGGCAAAACACTCAAACTAATCTAAAAAAACATCAATCTAAACTTAAACAAACCGGATTCGTTTGCAGTTCGTCAAAGCTTAGTTTAGAATCACACAACAACCATCATATTATGTTACTCAAAGCCAACGAAGTTCAACAAGCAAACTCGAATCGAACAAATTGCGTGGAGCACAAAGGGTACGCCGAGGCAGAGCGCACACCACTGTTTTGTTTTGTTGCCCTCTGGAAGAAGGTTAAGAATTATTAAATGCTCTTCCAACATATATAAATTTACCTTTGTTCCAGAGGCAATAAGGCTTTACAACTTTTCAAAGATGAACAAAGCTTTCGGGAGTTGGAAATGACACGTCAAATAATTAATTACAGAATATATACAGTTAGGTCCATACATTTTTGACATTTTTTAGCTCTCTAGACCAACACAATTGATTTGAAATGAAACGAACAAGATGTGCTTCAATTGCAGACTGTCTTAATTTTCTATTTACATCCAAATCAGGGTCCAAAAGTAATTGGACGATTGGCTTCTAAGCTGTTCCATGCTAGGTGTGTGTTAATCCCCTTATTATCCCAATTACAATGAGCAGATAAAAGGTCCAGAGTTAATTTCAAGTGTGCTGTTTGCATTTAGAATCTGTTACTGTCAACTCTCAAGATGAGATCCAAAGAGCTGTCACTATCAGTCAAGCAAGGCATCATTAGGCTGAAAAAAGCTAAACAAACCGATCAGAGAGAGAACAAAAACATTAGGCGTGGCCAAAACAACTGTTTGAAACATTCTTAAAAAGAAAGAACGCACCAGTGAGCTCAGCAACACAAAAAACTCAGAAGAAAACGGAAAACAACTGTGGTAAATGACCAAAGAATTCTTTTCCTTGTGAAAAAAACACCCTTTACAACAGTTGGCCAGATTAAAAAAATACTCTCCAAGAGATAGGTGTATGTGTGTCAAAGTCAACATTCAGAGAAGACCTCAACAGAGTGAATACAGAGGGTTCACCACAAGATGTAAACCACTGGTGAGCCTCAAAAACAGGAAGGCCAGGTTAGAGTTCTAAAAAGCCTTCACAGTGTTGAAACAACATCCTATGAGATTAAGGTCAACTTGTACCAGAGTGATGGAAAGAGAAGAGTATGGAGAAGGAAAGGAAAGGAACTGCTCATGATCCTAAGCAGTGAAGCGGTGGTAGTAGTGACAGGTTGTGGGCATGTATGACTGTTAATGGAACTGTGTTACTGGCAAAATCTTCTGCTCAAAATTAAGCCAAATACTTCAGAACTCATCGGACGGTGCTTCACAGTGCAGATGGAGAATGACCCAAAGCACACTGCAAAAGCAACCAAAGAGTTTTTGAAGGGAAAGAAGTGACCTGACCTGAACCCGATTGAGCATGCATTTCACTTGCTGAAGACAAAACCGAAGGAAAAATGCCCCAAGAACAAGCAGGAACTGAAAACAGTTGCTGTAGAGGCCTGGCAGAGCACCACCAGGAATGAAACCCAGTGTCTGGTGATGTCTATGCGTTCCAGACTTTAGGCTGTAATTGACTGCAAAGGATTTGCAACCAAGTATTAAAAAGGAAAAGTTTGATGTATGATTGTTATTCTGTCCAATTACTTTTGGGCCCTTAACAAGTGGGAGGCACATGTAAGCTGTTGTAATTCCTAAAGTGTTCACCTGATTTTGATGTAAATACCCACAAATTAAAGCTGAAAAAAGGTTACAATTGTGTTGAAATGTATGGACATAACTGTATATTTTTAGTGACCTAACAAATTAATTTTATTGTGTGGATGGCAAAATCTGATTTCAAAACAGATGACTCACTCTTATTTTAAAAACTGTTTTATAGAAATGTATGAATCATTTTTAACCAGATAATGTATAGCCCAGGATTGGAGACTACAAAACCAAGACAATAACATATCAACTGTATTCATATGAAACTCCAAGTACACTTTTGTGTAGTTACTTATTAGTAAACGTGTATCCTGATTCAATGCAGAAAAGAAGAAGGAAACAAACAAAGTTGTTTATATGTTTTTTTCGTGCACAAAAGTGTTGTCGGACCTACAGACACAGAAGTTGCATCTCAACTTGTATACTATTACAACTGCATCTATATTGTTATGACATAAAAAGAACTCGAATGTGGTTTTATATACTCTTTAGATGATTTTAACGAATTAAATAAAAGCTTTTGTATTCAAACTAAAAGTGCTGTAAATAACAGCAAATCAATTACGGAGTCATTGAATAAGTTTCTTAAATTCATTCACAGCAGGTGATTCATTCAGTATTGAAACACTGCTTAGTTGCTCAGAAACCCGTGCTGTAACTTTTTTTATTTTTTTGTGGTGGATTCGTGAGAATTTATTTTCACCACTGAAATAGAGCAAAAACTATACTACACACATATATGTATTTATACACACAGTTGGAGTCAGAATTATTAGCCCCATTTGAATGTTAAACTGATAAAAAAAATTCTTCTGGAGAAAGTCTTATTTGTTTTATTTTGGCTAGAATTAAAGTAGTTTTTAATTTTTTAAAACAATTTTAAGGTCAAAATTATTAGCCCTTTTAAGGTATATTTTTTTTCAATAGTCTACAGAACAAACCATCATTATACAATAACAATAACTATTTACCCTAACCTGCCTAGTTAATCTAATTAACTTAGTTAAGGCTTTAAATGTCATTTTAAGCTGTATAGAAGTGTCTATATATAAAAAATATCAAGTAAAATATTATTTACTGTCATCATGACAAAGATAAAATAAATCAGTTATTAAAACTATTATGTTTAGAAATGTGTTGAAAAAAAATCTGCTCTCCATTAAGCAGAAATTGGGGAAAAAAACTAAACAGGGGGGCTAATAATTCTGACTTCAACTGTATATATATGATCTCATGAGAAAACGTAAGTATTTTACGTTTTGCCAGGTAAGTGGCTACGATTTTAAAAAGGAGGCGTGGCACCTAACCCCACCCTTAAACCCAACCGTCATTGGGGGATGAGCAAATCGTACTGAATATATATATATAGTAAAGTAACTAAATACTATAAAGCTATATAAGTATATGTAAAATATAGTTTATTCTTGTGATGATGAAGTTTAATTTTCAGGATCACTACTCCAGTCTTGAGTGTTGCATTTTTAGAAACAATATTAATATGTTGATTTTCTGCTTGAGATACACATTCATAGTCTGAATCCCTGAATCTGTTTTTCACCATTGACTTTGCTTTCATTGACAGAAATATGCGTAAAACGGCCCTCAGACAGTCCGACTCTTCCAGTCCTGAAACAGGCTACAGACGCAGTGACTCGGGTCCAAATATGCGTCAGAAACGAGGTAAGAGCCATAATAAAAATCTTATCCAAACAGTTACAACCTTCCGTTTCTCTAACCATCCAGTCAATCAAGTCTAATCCTTCTTAAGAGCCATGGTCATCAAGCTCTCCGGATTTGCAGTCATTTGCAGGGAAGACTTTTTATCCTAAAGCTGTTGTCTGTCATCTCTTTCCAACTTATTTTTTGATCATGTAGTGCATTTACCTTAATTACGCCATTATCTCTGCCGTAATGGTTGTAAAAATGCTAGCAGGTAATTGGTTGCCGGTAAACACTTCAAAACTTCATTTCCCTTGGGCATGGTGTTTTGACATATCTCGGCTACTGTAACATCTGCATGATTGCGATGAGACTTCTGCTGTGTTGGTTTGGTCTGATATGCATAGGTTTTTTCTTTTATAATCTTCAATTTCTACTTCTTTCTCAAGTGCGTACTGTATGTTTCCATATGTTGGTGATTTGTTCAAGTGAAGAGGTGGTTTGGGGTAAATACCACTCAATTGTTTTCTGACTGTGGTGTCTGGTTGCAGATCTCGGATGAGTAATGGTTGCCACAGGTGTTTAATTCCTGTGAAAACACAAGTTGTCTCTGTGCCTCTGATGAACCCAGACTACAGATGACTGAGAATCTGAGCTGGAGAACTTCGACACTCTTAAACATGCTTATCTTAGTTAACATAGCTTATCGCGATTAATCAAATACAAAATAAAGGTTTGTATATACATAATATGTGTGTACTTACTGCGTATAAATATTGTGCATATTCAATTATATATGTTTACAAGCTTTTATTTTGGATGCGCTTAATCGAAATTAATTGTTTGACACTGTTTGTGTTACCCAAAACCTTTTTTAATGAATTTTTTTTTAATATGCTTCATAATACTATACAAAAAAGTGGGAAAAAAGTATCTTGTGCTTTTATTTAATCTACGACAATTCAGTAAAACAGTTATGTTTTGAATTATTTTAGCAATATTAATTTAGCGCTTTTTCATTTTACTATAGTCAGAAATTTTGGAAAGTGCGATTATCAACAGACAGTACTCTGTCTTCATCGTAAGTCTTAAGTCTCACATGATATTTTAGAAATTATTCTAAAATCTTAATTTTGTGTTCAACATTTTTTTACAACATCAATTACATTTTATTTATTACCAGTTTCATTGTATTTCACCTTTGACCCAGATCAAGAGATTTAGTTTTTAATTAAACCTCCAAGAGCTTTGTTTATTTCCTAATATGTATTTTATCAATCATATTTATATTTTGCTGCATCTTTGTGTACTAAATCATATATATTGTAAGCAGGTCTAATACAAAAGTACAGTTAAAGGCAAAAATTGTATTTATTTATTTTATTTATTAAAATTTTTATTTTGACATTTTCACAGTATTTCCAATTATGTTTTGTTTTAACCGGAAGAAAGTCTTATTTCTTTTAGTTTGGCTGTAATAAAAGTCATTTTTAAAACAATTGACAGCTTATATATATATATATATATATATATATATATATATATATATATATATCTCAGTAGTTCTTTAATTCTGGCCTCAACTGTATATATTGTCATCTTGGAATTATAAGGTTCCATCTGTGTTCGGAATGATTTTGAGATAATGAGCTTCAAAAGTTTTTGCATTACATATAGCAAACAGAATGTGTGTGACATTGTTTTATAAATAAAAAGTCTTAGAATATGTCAATAACAAAATTTTGACAAAAAATTCAGATAGAACCTTATAATTCTAAGGTATATATATATATATATATATATATATATATATATATATATATATATATATATATATATATATATATATATATATATATATATATATATATATATATATATATATATATATATATATATATATATATATATATATATATATATATATATATCAAAATATATATATATAGGCTGCAGGACAAAGCACTGTTGCCCAGTTATTTGCCTAATTAACCTAACTTGCCTAGCTATCCTAATTAAGTTAAGCCTGTAATTTGCACTTTAAGCAGAAATCCGGTATCTCACAAGACAATCGAATTAGAATAGAATGATGTACTGTCATCATGTAAAGACAAAATAAGAGGAGTTATTAGAAATTAGTTATTAAATCTTTGATGTTTAAAAATATGTTAAAAATCTTTCGTAAAAAAAAAATCTTTTGTAGTTCAACTCATAATTAGTTATCATTGGGTTGAATCATTCAGCAAACTAACTCTAAGGATGAACTTTAAACTTTTTTATTTTTGATTTTTTAAATGATTCAACATTTCACATCATCTAAAAGGATTAATAATACAACTAAGGCTTTATCATATTTGATCCAATCCATCATACACACTTTTTTTTTAAATGACAGATCCTATTTAGTCCTATTTCCCTTTCACCTCTTCCTCATGCTGCCTTAACAGCAGTGCTTTCCTCCTCCCCTTTTGTAGCTGACACTTCATCCAGCCTCGGCTCAGAGCGAGCGGCTCTTCCTAGAAAGCGTTTCACCTTACAGGGCCTGTCAAACCGCAGATCTCTGCCCGCAGGTAACGGCACAGCATCATCATGCCTCGTCTCTGTGTGGACCCATCCATCATCTCATCCCGATGTCTGCCTATTGGTCCCCCTCTTAATATTCACTGTCATCGCTCTCTGTCAGTCTCTGACAGTCTCTGTCTCTGAGAACGTTTAAGCCTTTTTTTTCTCGAATATGAGCCACTTTTGAAAGTAACGTGGAAATCTCTGGTGGCTTGTCATCGTAGAGCGTTGAGATTCTCTTAGGAGTATGAATTGTGTGCAAATCAGGTCAATAAAAGAGCTAAAATTATTTAAACTCAAAAAAAAAATGCCACAATGTATTCCCCTGACATTTTTAAGGAGGATTTTTCTAATAGATAAATTGTAAAAAATAATATTAATAATAATTCACTGCTAATTAATAGTTTGTCAGTTTTTGACTGACCTTTAATATTTAACAGACTTGCTTTTTTGACATTTTTAGGTGTTAAAAACTATATGTTGTCTGGGTGGTTCATGTCGATTATTTTACAAAGTGCTGACAGAAATATTATTATAGAGATACACAAAATACATGACATGAAATCAAATAGAAATGTAAAAGAGAAAAGCGAATACGAACGTTAAAGACAATCAGATACAACCAGTTGTGTGTGTATGTGTGGCTTTGTGTGTTAAGGTAACAGGATACACGGAAAGTATACAAACAAGAGAGCATAAAAAACACACAATATGCATAACACTAGAAAGCATATCAATACCGGTTATAAATAATATTTAAAAAGAAGCAAAAATAATATAGATATAAATAAAGCTAAATAATAGAGCAATCCTCTGTGGACAATAAGTTAGTTGATCTATAATAATGTTTGTAAATTTGTAAACTTACTAGTTACAATAGCAACAATAGTTGTGATGATAGTATTAATGACAACAATAATATTATAGATATAAATAGAATTGGCGATCGGTTTGTCATGGTCTTAACCTTCGACCACCACCCGTTGCTCCCCCACATTACATGTGGATTGTCCCACGTTGCTCATTCAAGGCTGACCAGACGCTAGGCCTGGCTCCAAGGTGTGGCCCCGGCCGTGCCATATCAGGCGATGTCACTGTCCTTAATGTTTTTGCGCTCATAAAGGATTTTTGAATCGCACTTAGCCTGACCTGTCACCTTAGCCCATTTTGCCTAATCACCCTAACAGGGGCTTGAGTGCCCGACAGCATAGCTCTCCCCATTTACAATAGTACCGTTTATTTTAAAATTATTTTCCCACGGTTACACCTTCCATGTACACTACCCTGGAGTTTTTGAGGCCACAAAAATTGAGCATTTTGGAAATACTGAAGAGGCCATTTTCATCTTAAAATGCTGCTGATTGGGGCTTTTTCTCAATATAAAGTGCACTAAGTTCAGTCTTGCACCCTTTCCTTAAGTTCAGACTTTGTAAGTTTGATATGGAAAACAAACATCCGAGCACACGTCGTGTAAATCTTCAAAGGGACCAGTGTACTTGATAACATCATTCACATCACCCTGGCTACATTGTATCTTAACAATAAAATCAAAACAAGATATAAGGAACTGCCTATTTTCATTTTGATATTAACAACTGAATAGCTACTATTATGCCTCAAGTCTAGGGGAAAATAACATGGGCATAATAAACGGAAAAACAAATGTGTTGGGGTGGTGGATTTCCCAAACAAAACAAAAACTTGATGCAAAAGATCCCCTTCGGTTGACAACCAAACTTGGACACTGACTTGAGAGTAATTGAATAGATTTATTATAGAAAAAAGTAGTACATTTAAATTTCTCCCTAAATATAAACATAGTCAAAATTAATAAAATAAATAGGCAAGCCATCCCTACAAGCTCAAACTCTGAAAAGAATTTGAAAGTATGTCTATACTTACTAATAACAGCCATATCACCCTGCAGCCCAAGACCAGTTACTCATTGAAGCTAAGCAGGGCCTGGATGGGAGACCACTAGGGAACACCAGGTTGCTGTTGGAGGTGGTATTAGTGAGGCCAGCAGGGGGCGCTCAACGTGAGGTCAATGTGAGTCCTAATGCCCCAGTAAAAGTGAAGGGGACACTACACTGTCAGTGGGCGCTGTCTTTCGGATGAGACGTTAAACCGAGGTCCTGACTCTCTGAGGTCATTAAAAATCCCATGGCACTTCTCGTGAAAGAGCAGGGGTGTAACCCCGGTGTCCTGGCCAAAGTCCCTCTATCGGCCCATACGACCATGGCCTCCCAATCATCCCCTTCCACTGAATTGGCTCTATCACTGTCTCTCCACTCCACCAATAGCTGGTGTGTGGTGAGCGCACTGGCGCCGTTGTCCGGTGGCTGCCGTCGCATCATCCAAGTGGATGCTGCACACTAGTGGTGGTCTGGAGAGACCCCCCTCATGATTGTGAAGCGCTTTGGGTGTATGGCCATACAAAATAAATGCGCTATATAAATACACATTACATTACATTACTATACTTGGATCTAATCTGAATCTTTCAAAATACAAAAATAAAAATGTGGATTACCCTGCTAGTAGAACATTTTTTTTACATTATTTAACATCTGAAGTGGGTCAATTTAAGTTTATAAAAATTATTTAAAACTATTGAACAATACTTATTCCCATCTTAGGACAATTTTGAAAACTTTTTGATCCACTTCAAATGTTGACTACTGTTTAAAATGCAGGTATATAATACTTTTTATTAATTAAAATTGTAAAATTTAATTCTCTGCAACCTTTTTACACAATCAAAAGATAAAAAAAAAAAAACATTGTACTGCTGTCAGATTAATGATGTGAAAGTAGAGGCCTGGGTCAACAGGAAGGTATTTAGATTTTGTGGGAGTACTGAGAAATAGCATGAAACACAAAACCATTGCTAAACCTTTCAAACATATCTGCTGATCAGACGTCTTTCTGTGCGTTTTTTTTTTCTTCTTTTCACTCATTTCACCACCTCATCCTGTTTTCTCTTCTTACTACTAACCCATATGTGCCTCTACTTCAGAACCCGCACCTAAGGAGACAGAAGTCACTCGCCGCTTTTCTTTAGCCTCAACTGTCGGCTCTGCCACTGCTCCACGCACTAAAGGTATCAAAGTCGCATGTGTGGTTTTACTTGCATGCATTATATCCTTCAAAAACACATCTGAACTTTTTCTTAGCAAGGTATACCACCCACCTGCTGTGTGAATGACGTGATGAACTTTTTCCATCGTGACATTTCGCTTACAGTGTAGCAGTGTTTATTTTTTTTGCATTGCCGTGTCATGTTTAATTAAAGAAAGACACTGTCATCACAATATCAAAATGAGCAAAAAGCAGATGAAATCAGTTAAAGTGTTACTATTTTTAGATATGTCTATTTACAAACTTTTGTCCTTACACTTTGAAAAATAGACAAAGGGCTCTATTTTAATGATCATGGTCTAACAGGGCTGTGCTTATTCTTTTAATGAGCTATGATTGTGTTTTAAGCATAAACCAATCAGTTTTTGATCTCCTATTGCCTTTAAAAGTCAGTTGCGTCACGCCATGGTACATTTGCTATTTTAATGGCGGACTTTGTAAGTGTAAAAACTGAACAATTCACTAGCGAGAAAACAGTTAAACCGACCATCTGCAGCGCAAGGATAAAGAATGAGCCTCCTCCACTAATCCTCTTTACTTTACTTTTACTCTTTACTTTACACCTTTAATTTTGTGGATAATGAAATAGTGTTGTACACACTCCACTGAAAACATTCATTAGTCTACACATTTACAATTAGTTTGTTAAAACAAAGATTTGTTTCAAAACTATTTCTGAATTCAGGTTATATTTCCAGCAAATGAATAAATGAACAATGTTAACAATGTGTGGTCAAAAAAGTTATATCCAAACACACGTCCTATTGCCCCATATGGTCATGCGTAGGTCTCCAAAACCCGACAGGTGGACAAATCTAAGCTTGTTTTTATTGAAACAAATAGAGATAAACTAATAATAAATAATACTACTGATGATAATAATAACATTATACAAATGCAAATTGTCATGAATAAACTGAAAAAGCCCCCTGAGATAAGGCATGGAGGCAGTGGTTTTCACATTTATGTAGAAAATAATAATTTTTTGGGATATTTTTAAACCCTTATTTTTTTATATGTATTTTATGTAAAGATATTTGTGTATTGCTGCACATATTAAGCAATTTGTAAGCATTTGGAAATGCATAGGTGCTCTGTGCTGGACTGTAGACCAGCTTTCAGTTCGTTGGTAAATGGCGCGATCTATGCCAGTTTCTCAAAATAGCTACGTGCCAACAATGCACCTTAACACATCTCCATCCATGAGTCTACAAAGTGATGCAAATGGATTTGCTATTTGAAAAAACATGGAGAAAAACGTAAAAAAAAATTTAAGTTTCTCTGGTCTGAAAATAGCAAAAAATCATGCCATACACATCTCGCGCCTTATCATGCCGAGTGGATGATAGGGCCCAAAAGGTCATGACAACATCTGTATTAATGTGACTTTAATTTTAATCAGTTATTCAGGTTTCAAACGCTTTTTTTTTGTCATACAAAGTTATACAAAGTTATACAAAAAAAATTTATTAACTTAACATTTTTTAGTTCGTTTGATTGTTATAAGTTGAGATAACTAGAAAAGGTCATTTGATTAAACAAAATATACCAACGCAATCTCTTGGCAATTCGTAATTTTTTGATTTAGTGGCTAATTCGTATAAATTTGACGATCTAATTTGTACAGTTTAGTACGATTTGCTCGACATCCAATGACAGTTGGTTAAGGTGCAGGGATGGGTGCCTCATCTCCTTTTTTAAAATCGTACATATTTGGAATTAGCCACTAAACTGACAAAACGTAAAAATACTTACGTTTCCTCGTGAGGTTAGGCTGAATATACATAAAAAGAAAAACTATGTACAGTGTACAATTAATAATGCTCTTTATTCATTTTTTTTATCTGTTTAATACACTGTAAACAAATAAATAAATTATGATAACTCTAACAATAACACTTTATATTCTCTTTTATATTATGCATAATACAATTTTAAATCAACATTTACTCTGACTCACTAAAAATAACACTTTCTATTCTGATTTTTATTATTGTTAAAATATGAAAACACAAACAAGTGTTAACCCTCTCCTAATATGCTTTATATATCCTTTTTGCTTTCAATACAAACTTACTATTAAATGGCAAAGTTTTACAGTCAGGTTGGCCAATTTGCTTTAACAATACATGCTGAAATGTTTAATAATTTATTCAGCAATTGCTGGTCTATGTGGTTATTTCAACTCATTTAACCACATGAGCATCTACAACTCAACAGCCATCCAATCGAATGAGTTTTCTACCTCTGGATGTGTTAGAAATGAATAGCTCAAAGTGTTTCAGGCTAGGTTTGCACAACAATCAGGTTATTAAAAATTAAAAAGATGTCAATTTCGTTTTTTTTTTTTTTTTTTTAGATTTCACATATACAGTACACATGTATGGTTACGAATAATCAAATGCAATTTATATACACATTTTGTCAGTTAAGCTGGTTTTAGTAAACCACAATGTGCTTTCATAGATGGAGCAACATTTACTACAAAGTGGTAGTTCACTGACAAGCAGAATTCTATCGATAAAAATCTATAGATAATAACATGAGCTTACTCCAAACTCACTTCATAACGCAAGTCAAGTGTTAATAAATCAATCTATGAGATGATTCATTAACTCATATCCTTCAAAATGGCCAAAAATGCTGAACTGCGTATACCATGCCATTAGTCACCTTGATTGTAAACTGTTAAGGCATACTTTATGTAGGTCGATTAAATTATGCGCTAAAAACAGTTTGACAACACTTGTTAATAAATAAAAAATACATTCTATATTAAAAAGATAAGTTGTATCTTAGAAAAACTGATGCATTTCGCAAAAACCGATGCATCTCGATTTGCTTTTAATATTTCATTCATCCTCTGCTGCTCTACCGCTGCACTCGCATCGTGCACGCGCATGATCGCGTATCGATACATATCGGTTTATCTTCCCATCCCTATTAGGAAGGGATGATTAGATATGTCCTCGGCGCTGATGTTTAGTTAGAATTTGTTGTGTGCATAAAATGCGACTCTGATGGTTGTATTAGTTTTGAGGTAAATTCACACTTTGCAGACAAAGTTTTAATCACTTGATCAACAGCAACACTACCACCTACTCCAACATTGATGTGTGTTTGTTCAAGCTTGTCTTTAAAATCGATGCACACTCAGCATAGCCATGTCTACACAGTTACTACACACACATCGCGTCACCATTTTCAGAGATTACTGCATTACGTGTTTACATAAAAAAAAAAGATTGCTTGTGTGTTAATGACGTGTTTTTAGTCACTAAAATACTGCTGTCATGTAAATAAACTAGCAAAAAGTATATAAAATTTTGCATTTTTTTCTGTATTTACTCATATATTTAATGTTTATTAATGTCATCCTCATGTGTTTTCATCACACAAAATGTGTAGAGCACAGCTTAATACCAGGAGTAAACATGGTCCTAATTCAGTCAGTATTTAGATCAGGGGTGTAAAACTGCAGCTACAGCCCTGCACAGTTTAGTTCCAACTCCACTCCAACACACTTACCTGTAGATTTCAAACAAGCCTGAAGGACTCATTTAGTTTGATCAGGTGTGTTTGATTAGGTTTGGAACTAAACTGTGCAGAGCCCTCCTGGAACTGAGTTTGACACCTGTGATTTAGATGAAAGAATTCTACATTTTCTGATTTACATGACGGGTTGGATAAGCCTGTCCTAACTGCTCAAGAGTTTGAACAGCAGTCTTCTAACCTAATTTCTTAGCTATCTGGCTCACCTTGAAAGACCTGGGGCCTAGCTTATGCCTCCTCTGTTGATGTTTGTTTGTTTTTTTAAGCATTTGTTCTGGTTGGATTGTAAGTAGATATACTGGTTTACGCTATGAGCAGTTTAATCAAATAAGTTTCTGACATCCTCTGAAAATAATCGAAAGTGCACAAGCACTTAAAACATTTTAGCCACATGAAAAATTTAACCGTTCACTAGGGCCAGAATAAATCTGCAGATGTTTTTTGCTATTACTGCTGAGAATCTTGGCAAAAATCTGCGGATTTCTGCAGAATCATTTTGGGGGCATCATAACTAAAACCTAAATATGTGAAATAAAAAAAATACCTTTTTAACTTTTATTTAATGTTTAAAATGCAAATCCAATTAGATCCACTTTGTTTGATAAACAAACCAAGTCTCATATATCAACTACAAGACAGAAAATATTACTGTACAAACTGCATTGCACTTATATCAGATGAACATTTTCATATTAGTCAATAATATTACTGTAATTAAATTAAAAACTTAATAAATATAGATTTACAGACATTTACTCAAGTAAATAAACAGAATTAATGATGGGCTGAAAATCTGCGGAATTATGTGGACCGGAGATTTCGTGTGGACCTACCAATCACCAATCAAATGGGTAGAATTTTTTAATCATATATATATATATATATATATATATATATATATATATATATATATATATTTTTTTTTTTTTTTTTTTTTTTTTTTTTTTTTGTGGGGAGGGGGAGGGCTCTGTTTCCGGACTTGCATGCTAACTGAGCTGTAATGAGCTTATGTTTAGTCAATTATGTGGAGTTTCATGTCAAAACACTTTAATCAGTTTACATTACAAATGCACCAATCAAATGGGTAGAAATTCTGAATTTTGCATTTGTTTTTACTCTCTGTTCTGGACTTGCATGCAAACTGAGCTGTAAAGAGCTTATGTTCAGTCAGTCACATGGAGTTTTATGTTAAAACATTTTGATCACAGTTTACATGACAAATGCACCAACTAAATAGCTGAAATTTCAGAAATTGCTTTTTATTTTACTCTCTGTTCTGGACTTGCATGCAAACTGAGCTGTAATGAGCTTATGTTCAGTCAGTCACATGGAGTTTTATGTCAAAACATTTTGATCACAGTTTACATGACAAATGAAATAATTAAATAGCTGAAATTTCAGAAATTGATTTTTTTTTTACTCTCTGTTCTGGACTTGCATGCAAACTGAGCTGTCATGAGCATATGTTCAGTCAATCCTGTGGAGTTTTATGTTTCAAAAAGATAAAATTAAACTAAATATGTTGTCATTTTATTCCTGAAAGCCTTTATCTAAAGCTAGGCTAAACATCTTGTCTTAATGTACTATACATTCTATTCATTCAATATACCTATCATGTATTTTACGGTAGGAAATTTGTGAAGTGTCTTAAATTGGAATTCTAATTTTTGACATCGAATAAAAATACAATAATAATTTGTATTAATTGAATGAAAAAAATATTTTAATTCTGTTATCATTTACTCACTCTTCACTTTTTCCAAACCTGTTTAAGCATGTTTCTGCTGTTGAACACAAAAGAAGATATTTTGAAGAAAGCTGAAAACCGGTAACCATTGACTTTCATAGTATTTGTTTTTCCTACTATGAAAGTCAATGGTTACCGGTTTTCAGCTTTCTTAAAATATTTTGAGGGTAAGTAAATAATGTGTAAATTAAAATTTTCGGCTAAAATGTCCCTGTAAATATTAGTGCAGCTACTTTTTTACAGCACTAAGCAAGGAAACACTAATATACCTGCTATTCTTTAAGCGCCACCTGCTGGAAGAAAGTAAATTTACATATCTGTTCAGCTTGTTTACTGTACAGGTATGTTTAATATACTGTAGCATAAGTTCACAAACCTAAAGTCAAGTCAGGATTTTAGTTTATATTCAGAAATTATAGAATCTAGAGGGGTAAAGAACATAATAATTCAGTATCTGAATCAACCAATTTCATATTTAAAAAAAATGTCAATACGAATCTTATTGTTTGTGTTTAACCAACCTTTGAAACTCCAGGCCTCTTCATTACAGCTCATATTAGAAGCGAAACACATAAAATCAAAGTTCACAAATGAATCCCGTAAAAAACAGGAAGAGACAGCTGCGTTGAATAATAAATACAGGCTCTTGATAAGCTGGCATTTGGGATGTGGCATGACATTTAGCAGTGTAGCCCCGCTGTGCAGCTCTGGGAATGTGAATGAGAATTTAGATGCTCACCAGCCTTTTGTTTCTTGTGGCCCCATTATTCTCTTTTATTCGGATGAGAGCTTTGCCACTGCAAGGGAATAATGAAAGATTATTGTGATTATTAATCTTGGAATAATGGGTTGAGAGGTTGTAATAGATGAGCTGGACTTCTGTTCTAAAAGACATGCAATGTTTGTGTTTAGCTCCTCTCTCCTCTAGCCTTAAGAGTAAGAGGCATCAGATCAAGAGCGACCCTACACCATTTGGCTATGAAGGTACCATGTGGAAAGCATGGCATGCTGCATGCTGGATGTAGTGTTTGTAAGATGCTTGTTGAGTGTTTTTCTTTATTTCTTCATTTATTTTTCTGGCCAGGTGGTTTTATTTAGACAAAACATTTGGAGTTAAAGATGCTGTTAGGTTTTGGATTTTAGTTTCATGGTTTACCTCTCTCTGGGACACTTTTAACAGTGGCATATTATCAGCCATGAACTAAAATAAAGTAAGTAAGTGCTGGATAAAGATTAATCATGATCAATCACATCTAATATATACAGTACAGACCAAATGTTTGGACACACTTTCTCTTTCAAAGAGTTTTCTTTATTTTCATGACTATGAAGAATGTAGATTTACAATGAAGGCATCAAAACTATGAATTAACACATGTAGAATATACATAACAAAATTTTTTGAAACAACCGAAAATACGTCATATAGGTTCTTCAAAGTAGCCACCTTTTGCTTTGATTACTGCTTTGCACACTCTTAGCATTCTCTTGATGAGCTTTAAGAGGTAGTTACCTGAAATTTTTATTATATACATGTCTATTTTATATCTACATATAAATAAAAAAAATAATTCACAAATATATACTGTACATGTGTGTGTATTTTTATATGCATAATGAGTATACATAGAGCACACAGATATATTATGTCAAAACAAGCTTTTAATTTGGATGCGATTAATCATGATTATTTTTTGCCCAGCACTACAACAAACAAACAAACAAACAAACAAACAAGCAAACAAACAAACAAACAAACAAATATGATGCTTGATTGTCAAAATAAAAATAAAAGAGATGTAACAGAAATGTTATGACTTAAGTATTGACATTTTGACATGTATTTGCAAAATTATTTAACTATGAAGAGTTTAGGTGCAAAAACCTCTAAATACTGTCTGATATTTTCTTCTAAATTCTGCATTTTTCCCTGACTCCTGAGTGTAGACTTTTACCTTTTATAGTGACACATTAGTTTTTTTCATTGCTTTTAAAGTTAAGCTTAAATAAAGGAGGCTGAGAAAAATACTAGTTTTGAGAGAAAGTTTCAGATGGCATTTAGAGATTTTTGCATCTGAGCTCTTCATATTTTGATTTAATTTGTACCTTTTTTTTTTTTTTTTTTGTATTTTTAGTATTTCTGCTTGAAATGGTGTTTTTGTTATTATAATTAGCTTATATCAGTTGTCTGCCAACCCCCTGTCAAATCTGTTGTTTTGTCGTTGGACAAAGATGTTGGTTGGACAAAGTTCTGTTGCTGAGTATCTTACAATGTTTATTTTGTTTTTGTTTTTATTCATTAAAATAATTTAATTAAAAAAAAAAACATTACAACTACACAATAAACTCCAAGAAAGACAAATTCAGCTTAACAAATAACAGCTTAACAGACAACTAAGCACATCAAGGGTCACACATTACTAATTAGTAATTTCCAACCCATATCTAAATCTTACCAGACTTAAGCTTTAACTTTATCTGTAACATTAAAGAAATAGTTCAACCAAATATAAACATTACCCCTAAATTAGCTTAACCTAAGGACATCCTCTGTATATATGACTTTCATCTTTCAGACAAACAATCACAGAACTTTAAAATTGGATCCTAGCTCTTTTATACTATATAATGGTGTTGGGTGGTGGCCCACTTTTAAGCTTTCAAAAGTGCATGAATTCATCTAAGAGGTAACCTGTACAGCAACAGGTAGTTAATATATGTCTTATGAAGTTTATTGAAGTGTTTTTGTAGTAGTAATAATATATATATATATATATATAAGTGGAAGTCAGAATTATTAGCCCCCCTGAAATATTAGCATCCGTGTTTATTTTTTACACAATTTCCTTTTTACGGACAGAAGATTTTTTCCAACACATTTCTACACATAATAGTTTTAATAACTCATCTCTAATAACTGATTTATTTTATCTTTTTCATGATGACATGAAATAATAATTTACTGGATATTCTTTGAGACACTTCTTTACAGCTTTTTTACAACATTTAAGGGCTTAACTAAGTTAAACCCTCGTTATACAATAACTTGCCTAATTACCCTAATTAGGCAAGTTACTGTATAACGATGGTTTGTTCTGTAGACTATATATATATATATATATATATATATATATATATATATATATATATATATATATATATATATACACAGGGCTTGACATTAACTTTTTTTGTTCACCAGTCACTGTGGCTAGTAGATTTCCAACATTACTAGCCACACGCCACACTTTTCTTGTTGGGAAAATATATTTTATATGCAAAAATTTGAATTTGACATGCTAAGATGACTTGACTAGATGTTGTGCTATGTCCATATGCCTTCTCATTTTTCTTGTGTGTGCTGTGTATAAGCTTGCTCAGGGTGCATGAGCAAATGGGTTGTCGCAATGCAATCAGTTTTTATTTCACAACTTTTCAGGGCTCAAAATTAAGGATCAACAAATTTATCTCTGACCACAACAAATAAGTATTTCTTAGCCACAATATTTAATGTGTCAAAACAAGGAAAATATAGTGTTTTATGTGCACTTTTTAATTCAACAAAGCTTTCTTTAAAAAAAAACGCTACATTTAAAAAAAAAAATTATTCTGCCATCTGTCCTGGCTAAAAATCCCAGATCACCAATTAACTACACATCAACAGGGAGAAATCTCCCATTAAAGCAATGTTATTGTAAAAAATATATATAATTAAACTATATTAACAAAAATAACTGTAAGCAAAAAAAGCAGTTAAAACATACTGTGTTTGATAATGAAAGGATGATCACACGCACACGGTTAACTTAGGCCTGTTACTTATCTGTTCAAAGATTAATTAAAATAAAAGCAGTAACCGCTGCTGCTTACAAAAGAAAAAAGTGTATTTTTTTGTCTTAAGCTCTTGAAAGCAGCAGGTCTGTGGGTGCACGATTATCACTCTTTGTCCAGTCTATTTCAAAGTGAACCGATCGCAACGGGTTGCGCTTCTCTAGGCACGGTTTCTTCACGCAAGTAAATGGGAGCGCGCACGCTTTTTTACAATCGCGCACATCACATCACCTGTGCGCGTGAGTGATCATCCTCTCGTTCTGTATTTACCTTCTTTTTTTGCTGTTTTGCTCGCTCGAACAGTTATTTTTGTCAATTATGCTGCTTCTCTATTCTAAGATCACATTAGCATGAATATCGGGCCATGCTTATTGTCGAACCCTGCTTTTAAGAAAACTACAATTGAAAAATGACTTCCAACCATATATATATATATACACACACACACACACACACTTCCTGTGGTTGCTGAAAGCACATTCTCGTCAACTTCTTGGCTTATCTCTGACTCTATGTATTTCACATAATGTACAAAAATTGTTACAAAAGGAATTAATTCCCTAATAAGATACATATCAAGTCCCTGGGGGAGTGTGGTTTAGCTGGATGTTGGATTTATGTTTTTTTGGAAACTTCAAAAAAAAAAAAAAAAAAAAAAAAGGTCACTGTCCAACAACATTATACATTATGAAAAAGAGCCATGATAAAGGTTAAAACCCCTCTGACTGTGTTCATCTGAAAGAAGAAAGTCATATACACCAAGGTGTGTCAATTATGGGGCAGTTTTCATTTTTGTGCTGAACTATTTCTTTATCTTGATCGTCAGGCTGCCAGATTTATCTAGTTTATCGATTTTGTGTAATTCTAGGTGTTTGTGCTTGTTTGTGGTGTGGTTATAGGATTTATTTTTTATTTCATTTTATTTTTTATTTTTTACTGAAACCTAGTGTCCATTATCCTCTAAGTCTTTTGCTTTGTGCTTTCTGTTGGTTGGACAAAGTTCTGTGAGTGCAAGTGACTTCCTGTGGTTACTTTTTTCTTCTTCTTTGCTGTAACTAATTTGTGCATGGATTGTTTCTTTTAAAAAGGAGGATATTTTTGATACAATTACAGTTTTATTGAAATCAAATTGCATTAATGGTCACACATGACATGGCTAATGTATTATTTACAACCCATTTATAAAATCCACCAAGATATAAGCTTTATCTGTTGTTGCCTTAATCTTGCAGGTGCTACCAAGACACGCGGTTTTAAAAAAGGTTTATCTGTTGTTTCATTAGAGCTGCCATACTTGATCTTAAACTTGTTTTGTTTATCTGTCGTGGTTTAATTTCATTTGTTTATGCTTGCTCCATGGTGTTGTGGTGGTGGTCTTTGGGTCATTTTTCTAATAATTGCTTTGCTGAACATGTTTTATCATGCTTGTTTTATCATTCTGTTGATCAGACAACTTTCTGTCTTCTTATGGTTACTGAGATCAGTTGCACAACCTTTAGGGATTAGGCTAGTAAAATAAGATCATACTTTATTAGTGCTTATAAACAGTTAATATGTTAATAATAGGCAGGTGATGAGCCAGTAGTAAACGGTGTGAACTGCTACTTAAACTAAAGTGTTACCGAGTTTTTTTTTTTTTTTTTAAAGAAAAGTAACATTAACATTATTTTTCAAGAAACTCAAATTAGATGAATATATATAGTAAGACACCACTAATTAGTCACTTATACACAAATGCAATTAAGACAACAGATTAAAAAGACTAAAAGCTTTATCTCTTGCTGCATAAATCTTAACCACGTTGGCTTCTAGATTTGATTTGATTCTTATTTTAGTCAGTGTTCTAGCTTGTAATGTGGCTTTGTAGTGGAGTTTTTCGTGTTTCGTCCTCCAAATGTATGATTTTATTTGTTTTGTTATTATATTTATGTATTTACTTATTTATTGTAACAATGTGTTGTGAGTGTTATTTTTTACTGAAAGCTGGTTTGATAAATTTACAGTATTGCATAATTTTACTGTAAAATATACCGTAATTTGAATAATGCAACTTTAAATTGCAGTACCATACTGTATATCTGTCCTACGGTAAAAAAAATAGTTCATATTTTACAGTTAAATACTGCATAATTTACAAAAATCTTTAATAGTGCAGATACTGTTTTAGTTTTTTTTTTTTTTCACTGAAAGCTGATTTCATAAATGTACAGTATTGTACAACTTTAATGTAAAATGTACTGTAATTTTTGACAATGCAACTTTAAATTGCAGTAACAAACTGTATAACTGTCCTACAGTAAAATACAGTTCATATTCTACAGGTAAATATTGTGTAACTTACAAGAATCAGTAGCAATGTGGTTACTGTTTTTTTTACTGAAAGCTGATTTCATAAATTTAAAGTATTGCATAATTTTACTCTAAAATAAACCGTTATTTGAACAATGCAACTTTAAAATGCAGTAACATACTGTATAACTGTCCTGAAAATGTGGAAAAAATGTTGAAAGTGTAATTGCAGTTTTTTTTTTTACTCAAATGCCATAAATGTACACTAGTGTACAACTTTAATGTAAAATATACTGTAATTTTGATAATGCAACTTTAATATGAAATAACATACTGTATAACTATCCTACAGTAAAATACAGGTGAAAAAAAAAAAAAAATAAATATATATATATATATATATATATATATATATATATATATATATATATATATATATATATATATATATACACAGTACAATACATATATTACTGTTAAATGTTGTGTAATTTGCAAAAATCGTTCACACTGTATGTACTGTTTTTTATTTTATTTATTTATTTTTTTACTGAAAGCAGATTTATAAACGAGAGGATTAAAGATGACTATTTTTCCAAACTATCCCTAAATGCTAACAGTTGAAATACTGAAATCTGTTTTTCATTCATTATAACCACCAGGTTGCCAGAATTGACTTTTTATCAGTTTTGGTTTCTGCTTGCGTTATGGTGTAGTATTAGTGGTTTTTTTTGTTGTTGTTTGTTTGTTTTTTGGTTTACATCAAGTGTGAATTACTTCCCGTGGTTATTTCCTCTTTTAAGTATTTTTTAAAGCTTTTGGTTTGTTTTTCTTCATCATTGTACCCATTTGTGCATGCCAATGTGAGCTTTCCTATCACACGCGTCCATCCAAAAGGTCATCTTTGATAAAACGCTGAATTTCCTCACAGAAACCATGCGAGATTCCCTTCCAGCCGAGAGAAAAAGTAAAGGTAGCGGCGGTTCGAAGCCCGCTGTGCCGAGGTCTGCGTCTCAGCCAGGTAATCTTGTGAATAGAGCCAACGATATGCCAGTCATATCGGCTTCTCTCGGGTGTTTTGGTCTGTTTTCATTCCACATTCTGTGTCTGACGGTGACAGAATCAGTCAGAGTTATTTTCATCCGGCGCTTCAACATCTTGTCTGCCTTTCACAGAAAAGTTTTTATTTTATTTATTATTTTTTTCCCAAGAAAACCTGAGCACTAGTCTGTATTCCCTGAGCATCGTCTCTCATAAAGATTTTACTGAATGATGTTAACTTTGGTGTGTTTTCTTTTTTTTTTCTTTTTTTTCTTCAGGATGGAGTCAACGGCGTCTGCCTTCAATGGACGCTGAGGATTTCGAGACCATTCCGTCTAGTGCTGAAGAGCTGTCTATTTCCTCTGATGGAGAGGATGAAGGACACAACAAAAACGTAAACATCTTCATCCACGTTTTGTCCACATTTATCTTTTATTCACACTCGACCTTTTAGAGGGACATGGATGTTGTCGAGTGGAGATGGAGGATATCTAGCTGGCTCACCACAACAAGAGAATTATGTCACAATCTGCTTACTCTCATATCGTAATTTGAGATTTTCATTTAAATGTATAATTTTTTATGTTTAATTAATTGTAGCATATTTTAATATATTGTTATTTTAATGTATAAACAGTTTTCTTATGCCTTTTTTCCTTTTTTGGCATATTAACTTGAAGTTAAAATGAAATGTTTTTTAAATGTTAGTATCAGTATTGTTAGTTTTTAGGATGTCCATAAGCCAGTGTGCCCCAAAACAGTGACAAAATTATATATGAATATAAAAATATCAACATGTAAAGTTTGTAGTTTGTCACTTCTGCCCAAATGTATCAAGGGTTTTATTCACATCATCTCTCCTACTGTTTCTCATCACTGCATAACTAATCAAATGCTCTCAAATATCCGCTATGCTCCGTCCCCTTAAAGACACTTCTTATTTGCTTTTCATTTGATGCACTCGAGCTCAACCACTCTCACTGGCAAAGCGGTGATAAAACTAAACTCTATTGGCTGTTTTTTTTAAAAGGGGAGGAGCTACACTATGTCCTGGCCTCTCTTTGTTTTTTTGGTTGAGGTTAAGTCAAACGTCAAATTAAATGCATATGCTCAGGAACAGCAATACGCACTAACAAGTAAATATCAATGTCTGTTTCATGGTGACCAAAGATATTTTCCTCTATTAATATAAATGAGTGAGCAAGTAAATAAATACATAATACTGATGATGATAATAAAAAACGTATAAGTATTTTTATTATTAATATTAATATTTGTAAATAATAATTATTATTTTTATTATTATTATTGTTGTTGTTGTTGTTATTATTATTTACATATTTTTATTATTATATTATTATTATTTATTATATATTTTGAGCATATTTGTACATTTATTTGCAGTATTTTTTAAATTATTTTGAAATATATAATTTTAATATGTTTTAATCATAATGTAATATTAGTTGTAATGGTTATTTTTTTCCAAACTAATTATAATTTTGAATACAAATCTAATAATATAATAATAATAATAATCAATTTTATTATTTTACAATTTAGAATATTTCACACACTAATTTTTCACACAATTATTTTTGTAGAATTGTTTTTCTAATTATTCTTAATTTTTTTAAGTTTTATTATTATTACAAAATAAATCGTACATTTATATGTATATTTACATTTATTTTGAATTTGTTAATAAATTATTTTTGTAATATTTATTATACAGTATGTTTATTATTTTCCACACAACTTCATTTTTATTTATGTATTTTTTAAAAGTTTATTAATTGATTAATTTATATATCTGTTTATTTATTTGTTTACTGTAAAAAAAATTGCACGAGTATCAGAAGTTTAAACTTACACTGTTAAATATCATTTTTATTATTATAAACAAAATAAGATATTCAGACCTTTTTAACTTTTTTTTTGTCTACAGAAATAAGCAAGATACATTTAGAAAAAAACATGAGGTTGACTAAGCTTCTCCTTTGATTCCAGAAACTAGCACACAACAAAGTAGCTAAAGGATTCTGCTTATGTTTAGTATGAAAGATAAAGTGTATCAACAACAATTGACAATTAACACAGACAGGTCAGATTATCTCAGGCTCTTAAAAACACCCAGAGGATTTTATTTGGGTTTAATCCTCCTGCCTAATGCTGGAAGATCTGCTTGGGTGAGGGGGATTAATAAACAGCACAGCACAAAATCAGTCAGAAACAGCAGAGTTTATCGTCAATCATGGTTTCTACCAGCAGAGGGCGATCTTGAATAAACAACAGAGACTTAACAACATCTCTACTGACTACACACACACATACTCACAACTGCAAGTATCAAACCATACTGCTCATTTCTTTCCAATTGAAGAAAACCCAAAAAGTGGCGGCATGACCCTGACATCATTTATTCTCCTATTTGTGTGTGTTTTAGGGGGATAATGACCGCTATCAGGTGCAGTTGACTTACGAGTCTTGCACTGCTCAGGATCTTTCTGTAGAAGCTGGAGATTTTGTACAATTCCTGGAAGAGTCAGAGAACGGCCTCTGGTGAGTAATGATATCTGCGTTCAGATGTACTGTATTCCTGCTTTACTGAAAACCTCCGGGGAGAATGCTTGAACCTTTCACTCCATCATTTGCTCATTTTCATATCAGATTGTTTACATTCATTTAATATAAATTTTATCTTTTAACCTTGTATAATATTTAAAAAATTATAATATTGGCTCGCTTTTGTCATATTTTATATTTCAATTTTCAAATTAAAATTTTTACATTTATTTAATATGCATTTTATTTTTTAATTGTGTAATATTCAAGAAATAATAATATTTGCTCACTCTTGTGGTATTTTTAAATTTCAATTTTGAAAAATATATATTTTACATTTATTTAATATGTCTTTTATTATTTTTAATAATATTTCAAGTCTTATCATGTTTACATTTCAATTTTTGAAATATTATTTTTACATGTAATTTATATGTATTTAATTTTTTATAAATCGTATAACATTTAAAAATAATAATAATATTTGCTTACTCTCATTATATTTTTACATTTCAATTTTTTAAATATTATTTGTAAAAATGTATAATTTAAATTTATTTAAAATTGTTTTTGTGTTTTTTGCTATAAAGTATTTTTTAGTATTGTGCAAAATTACTAGAAAAATTTAAGCTACTGTCCTATTTGATATAATAAATTAAATTAGTTATATTGGAAATTAGTTAATAAATAAAAGTTTTAAAAATATTTTTAAAAGATTCAAATGTCAAAAAAGTTGCTAATAATTTTAACCTACACTATGTATGGTTTAGCTTTATTTATTATTTTATATATGCATCATTTTAACATATACAGTTAATATTTAAGCTTTTTTAAAGGGGGTTAACTTACCTGGAATAATTGTTCATCTCATTTTAATTTTATGGTGACTTGATTTTCTATATTATTTATTAATTCTCACAGCCACAAATTTGTATTCACAAATTTTAAATGTTCATGGATTTTCTTCTCCAAGGAATTTAGATATTCACTCTCTAAGGAGCACATATCATTATAATTGTTGTTATTATTATTATTAGTAGTAGTAGTCGTAGTATTGTTATTGATATAATTTTACATCCAATAATTTCACGCACAATTTTAGTTTCAACACTAAAAAGCTGACAGTCACTAATAAATCTCAGTAATGTAGCTCTTTGCTTGACATATCTATTATTGTTGGTTCAAAGACCTCACAAAACAAGAGTATCAATAAAATTGTCAGGCTTTAGAAATAATTATAAAGGTTCAGCATTTTAAATTTGTCTTTATCAGTTTCTGCATTGAAATTAATTTCTTGTCAGGGTGATTTGACCTGGTCCTGATATGAAAGACTTGATAATAAAATATTCTTGAAAAGAAAACTTTAATAAGTGCTTTGGCATAATTTTATGTTTTATTTCATTCTTAAGAATACAAATAAATTTTCCAACACTGCCTTACTGATAGGTGGTGCAGTGGCGCAGTGGGTAGCGCTGTTGCCTTACAGCAAGAAGGTCGCTGATTTGAGCATCGGCTGGGTCAGTTGACAATTCTGTGTGGAGTTTGCTATGTTCTCTACGTGTTCGCTTGAGTTTCCTCCAGTGCTCCAGATTCCCACTACAATCCACAGACATGCGCTATAGGTGAATTGGGTATGCTAAATTGTTTGTAGTGTATGTGTGTGAACGAGAGTATATGGGTGTTTCCCAGTGATGGGTTGCAGCTGAAAGGGCATCCTCTGTGTAAAACATATGCTGGATAAGTTGGGGGTTCAAGCCGAAAAGAAAATGAATGAAGGAATAATTGTTTCCCTGATTGTTAATAAATGAAAACCCAAAAAAGCCCACAACTAGAGCAAAATAAAAGCATTTATTAGAGTTAGGCCCTGTTCATGCTTGCCTGATGTGTTTTTTCAATCTGATCAACTAGGATTTAATGTTTGCTGTCTTAAATCATAACTTTGATCTGAAGCTGAAAAAAAGGCATTCTCTTAGCATTCTGTGAGGTTTTGCAGAGTATAAACGAAAACTGTTGCTCTCTGCATCATCTTCCATTGTTTACTTTTGCATTCCAATTTGTGTGAGCTTCAGAAATCAGGAAGACATCAGGAAAGTGGACAAAAGAGGTCGACTGAATACCAAATATGTAAACAGGAATGTGTTTTCCTGTGCTGACACTCACTAAAAGTCTTGAAATATTTTCTTTTACCTTGAAAAATGTGTCCCCCAGAGATAAACATAGGGCTGGGCGATATTGCAAATCACGTTTCAAATCATTTGGTATTGATAATTATTGAATATTTTTAACAATACATTTAGGAATATCAGAATTTTTTTTTTTTTTTTTTACTTTTCAAATAGTTTTATTAGTCAAAAACAAAAAATATTTAAAACTAATTTCTCATCTTTTTATAATAAAATAAACATAAGTGTTAAAGAGACTCTTAAACTTGATAAATACATTGTTACAAAGTGTGTGCAATAGTAAAGGTAGACCAATATGTGTAAGGTGTCAATAATAATGATACAGTAAACTTTATACTCTGTAAACAAAACAAATTATTATAATCAAATCTGAGCTTTCAAATAAAGAAACTAACCATCTTTATCCAAATACATACTGCAACATTACAAATTTTGAAATTGGTTGACTACATTACACCCTATGTTAAAATATCTTTCAGATGGGGTGCTATAGTTGCTGGGATGCACAAGAAAAGAAACCAAAAAGCCAACTTGGTGACATCCTTTTTTATTTACAATCTCCTCATTCTACAATCTCCTACTCATTTTTGCAACCATCAATCGTTTTCTCAGAGGATGACAAATGGAGAAACCATTGCTGCATCTCTGATACAAGTTCATGAAGAAAAGTAGAAAGCACTGCAGTGTTTGAATGCACTGTATTTGTCTGAGATAATTAGTCTGTCATTACCTAAGTGAGTATATTCCGTACAAAGTGTGAACCAGATGGGTTAGTTCTACTTACATAAATCACAGTGCGCTCATGGCATTCGAAAAATTTCATATGTTTTTCAGTTTGATGTACATGAAAAATATGTTTATGTCTTGTGTGCACCACGTGCACATCATGTGTGCAATGCTCCCTGCGCCGCTCTTTTGGAAAAGACAAACTTACACCATAAACTTATTGGCATTGCTTTCAATTCACAGGCTCAGCAGCCGCATTTTAATAAAACTATAGCCTTCATACCGAAACTTCATATCAAACTTTTTTTTTTATTATTGTTATTGACAATAGTGTGCGGTCAATAAATACCGATAACGATTTTATCACCCAGCCTTAGTTAACAGTTTTTCCATTTTTAAATCCATTCAGTCGATCTCCTGGTGTGGCAGGAGCACTTGTAGCTTAGCTTAGCATAAATCATTGAATCGGATTAGACCATTAGCATCTCGCTCAAAAAAATACCAAAGAGTTTTGATAAATTTCCTATTTAAGGCTGGACTCTTCTGTAGTTACGTCATGTATAAGTCATATGGAGCATTATTTAATTGAAATTATGAAATCATTGCATCTGCTGCAGTCATAGTACAACAGTAACGTTCTTTGATTATTACACCAAAATGAAAGTCTTCCTATTCATATTGGCCTATAAAATACCAGCCTTTCATTTTCCGTCGGTCTTAGATCACATTACAAATGAGTCAAGCTTTAAATTGGTAAAATATTGAAACTCTTTGATCATTTTTGGGCGGGATGCTAATGGTCTAATCCAGTTCAATGATCTATGCTAAGCTGAGCTAAAAGTGCTTCCTCTACATCCAGATAAAACTCAACTGTTTAACTTTAGTGTAGTTGTCAAAGGAGTCTCTTATTAAAAATAAATAAATATATAAGTGGAGTCCTAAAAAGCAGATGCTAATGAAAATAGTCATTAAATAAATAAATAAACAAACAAACAAACAAATAAATAAATAAATAAATAAATAAATAATGGTGTGCTTTTCAAAAACAATAACAACAAATCTAACAAGTAGCTATCTACAAACTTGGCTCATGTTTTATTGATCATTTCTATTTATTTTTTCCTTTATCATGAACACTCTTATTTTACTCACTCCTATTTTCACGTTATTTACCCAATCGTCTCCTAAAGCAAAGATGGAAGAGATGTTTCACAGGGCCTGTTGCACCCCATTTTGAAAGTGCTGAATCCCACTTAATCCACACTAACATTTCTAAAACGAAATGAAAAAGCCAGCAATATTCTGAAGTGTCTCATACATATTTAATCCTGAAAGCTGTCTCCAGTCATTTTCGGTGCTTGAGTTCCTGCTTTGTAAAGTTTTCTCACCAATCAAAGCCCTCAAACCCTTCATAAGAAGTTTTCAGGCTTTTATGGATGTGGATTTTTTGACATTGTGCAGAGCTGAGCTAAAGTTTAGCTTGAGCCACAGGCGGCTTTAAAGTTTGCTCACTTCTGTCAGGTGATACTGTAACCTGTTGTGCGTTAGAGAACATGCACACGACGCAGGTCACTGTCAGAAAGTGTTTTCTGTCTTTCTTTCTTTCTTTTTTTTAAAGGAAGTGTATTTTTACTAAGGAACAAGAAGGAATAATACAGTTTGTAAAAGGCACAGCATATAAAACCTTGCTCTGTACACACACACACACACACACACGCACACACACACACACACACACACACACACACACACACACACACACACACAAACACACATAGGGGTAACAGGAAACAATAGTAAATCTAATGGGGAAAACACCCAGACCATTACCTTACACTCTCACACACACACACACACACACACACACACACACACACACACACACACACACACACACACACACACACGCACACACACACACAATCAAGAAACTCTTTTGTTTTTTTGTTTTGTCTGCATTGATTATGGTCACCACACATTGGTTCCACCATCATTTTGTGTTGGAACAACATAAAGGAATTAAGTTAACTTACTAGTTTTACAAATGTAAGTAGATTGAACATAAAACAAACAAGTTGTCCCCCCCATAAAACTCAAGAATTGTGTTGTTTTAGCTCATTTTAAACAAGTAGTTTGAACAAACGGACATTATCCCAGTATTATTCACCAAAGTATAACCAATAAACCTCAAAACGTTAACCTATAATAATGCAACAGTGCAGTTAGTTATTGAAAGTGGTAGTTCACCTAGAAATGAAAATGTGCTGTTTATTTTCTCACCTTCAGGTCATGCAAGATGTACGTGACCTTTCATTTTTCAGTAGAATAGCAAAGGTGGTTTTTAGCTGAAATCTTGGTACTTGGTGATTTATAAAATGCAAGTCAACAGCTCGGCTGTAAATAAACACAACGTAAGTTTGAGCTTATTATGCAAAAGAAACTGAACACTTCCAGACTGTTCATGTTTAAAAAAGGTTTTTGGTTTAATAATAATAATAATAATAATAATAATAATAATAATAAAAAGACTTCAGTGTACTGTCAGGATCCAGAGGTATTCATTTAGTTTTGACAGTATTTTTTTATTTATTTATTTTTGCCTGTTAACTGTTGTTTTTGTTGCAGTTGACTTGCATTTTAGGACTTCACAAATGAAATAATTTTAGTTAAAAGGTCTTTAATGTTGTTCTGAGAAAAAAAAAAAAAAAAAAAAAAACGATCATGTAATAACTCACCTTTATTTAAAAATACAAATGTTTTGTTAATGGAGACAAAATATTATTTTATTTATTTTGTGAGTACATGCAAAGTTTTTTAATTAAATGCATTGTTTCTTAAGTGAACACAAATATTTAAATTATTACAATTAATTATTACAAATATTTTGATTAGAGTAAATGTATGTTTTTGGGTACTTTTTTTCTGGGTGAATGCAAAGTGTCCTGAAGGAACACAAATGTTTTGCAAGTAAACATTTTGTAAGTGAATGCAATGTTTCTTTGGACTAGCACAAATTAATTGTGGGTTAAAATAAATGTTAAACAAAATGCAATGATTCCTTGGGAAAAAAATGTTATTATTTTATTTTATTATTTTTTTAAAGTTTTGTTTGCAAATACAAAGTTTCTTGAGGGAACACAAAAGTTTTGCATGTAAACAAACCAGCCTGATCTCAAGAGGAAACGTAAATATTTAACGTTTTGTCAGTTTAGTGTCTAATTCATACAAATTTGAGGTTAATTGTACGAAAGTGTACGATTTAAAAAATGAGTCGTCATTGGGGAATTAGCAAATCGTAATAAATTGTACGAATTAGATCATTCAAATTCATATGAATTAGCCACTAAATCAAAAAGTTACGAATTGCCGTAAGATTGTGTTGAAACAAACATTTTGTGATCAAATACAATGAAAATTCAAACGTTTTTTTTTTTTTTTACTTTCTTGTGGTTGAGCAAATGCCCATTTTCTCAGAGGAACACAAGCGTTTTGTAAATGTTTGCTCAGTGCATTGTTTTTTTTTTTGTTGTTGTTGTTGTTGTGGGTCACCATGAATAACAAAGCCCTTTGGTTATCTGAATGATCATTTCAAGGATTCAGCCAATCATGCGGAACCACTTTTGAGCTCCAAGTTCACCAGCACAAAGCTGTATGTTGGTGCTGCTGCCGCTGAACACTGTCTCTCATGTTCTAGGCTAGTCAAGAACCTTAGAACTCAGAAGACAGGACTGGTGCCGCCCACTGTCCTGCAGTCCACAGCAGAGGAACTAGACCTTTACAGTAACTCCGGTACCGCACACCAATCCCAGCAGAAGGACATGACTGACATCATCACTTAGTCCAGAATGCTGGTCACCATTAAAGGGGTCCTTGATTATGATTTGACTTTTTTAAACTTTAATTAGTGTAATGTTGCTGTTTGAGCATAGCTATGATGCTTAAAGTTCAAAGCAAGAGAGAAATGTTGTTTTACAAAATGTATTTTAACCCTTTGATGTGTACGATAACATCGGTGTAAAGCATTCAGTCATGTGATCAGTTTCTAAATTCAAATCTGCTTTCCTGCTATGCCTTGCATTGAGCCAGAGAAAGACATGCTCAGCATTTGTCATAAATCAAAATGTATCCCTATTTTCAAACAAATTATGCTTATTTTAGGTTTCAGACATTTAAATAAATACAAGTTCTAGCATAACATAATATTTATGGTTTGTAAAATACACCCTGATGTCTATAGAGACGGCAATAATAATAATAAATTGTAAACATAATCGCATGATGTGCTTTCTCTGTTTAGGTAACTATAATGTCATTTATTTGGGGGAAGTTAAGGAATTGTAAATCCAGCAGCTTTAATCTCTATCATGGCAGCACCCATCACCTGTCATAGACCAAATAATGTGATTGTTATCAAGCTGTTTAAACAAAGAAATGCTTGTTCGTTATACATATTTGAGAATAAGAATATCGAATAATTCACAGTATAATTAAGCAGTTTGTCAATAATTGCATAAAAGGGAAAATAAGGTTAAAAAGCTTAGGGGCCATTAAGATATTTCATATTTTGGCTTTTCGGCTCAAATTCTTCTAATTTACGCATCAAATTTACCTCACATTAAACGTGGAATTGTTTCATTGGTGGGGCGTAGGCATGGGCCGCTATAAGATTCTGATGGTATGATAACCTTGCATAAAAATATCACGGTTTCACCGTATTGTAATTACTGCCCCAAAATATGCTCTTTTTAAGTATCTGGGTACAAAACTAAAATTTTCCCCTATTGAACACAATATATTTCATTTTGAGAAACATTTTAAATATTTTGGAGCAGTAAACATGTCAGGCTAAATAATTCCAATCAATAATTGAGTTTTTTATTAGTTTCAAAAACACAGATTTTTTCTACAATTTAACACGGCATTTTTGCATCTTTTCTGCTGGATATGCTGTTGTTAAAGTTAAATCAAAAATCTTATATATAACATAGGAGCGGTATAGCAGAAAATGTTAGCAGTTTTAAAACCTTGACTTTTTCAAACCGCAGTATATCCTGAAAGCGGTTATCATCCCATGCCTAGTGGGGCGCCTGTCTGCCTGGTGACTCCAGTTTCATTGCTAAATGGCTAACATGGATTTTATTGAGAGAGCAGCTTTGCTTTATGTGCTTTAAGAAGGCTGAAAATGGCATATATGCGTTCGGCACAGTGTCTGGGTCCATTAGATCTTGCTCTGTTAGTTCATAAACTCCTTCAGAAGCTGTGCCTGGATGACGGACGCTTTCAGCCATACTTCCGACTGAGTCGGTCCCATGTAGGAGGGTTTCCCCTTAGGACACCAACTACAGGTGCTACATCATAATCATGGCCCTACAAGAGCAAGCTTCTGATTGGTTAATGCGGCGCAAATGTTTGCCAAGTTTGATTTTTCAATTGAAGCAATTTGTACGAATCACGTTAAACGCGTCAAACAATCAATTTGCGCCGTGTCATTCGCACCACCTCATTTATGCGTTGATTACCAATTACATCTTTGCATTGACTTAACATGTAAATCGCTAACAATTGATGCTTCATCTGCGTCTGGTGTGAATGTGCTATAAGATAATGGTTGCCTTGTACAACATATGCCATGGGAACGCAAGCATAGAAGTGTGTTAAAAAAGTGGTGAAGGAAGTGACGCACCTTGCACTTTCCACTCGGTTTTAGACGTAACATCTAATTTGTCGTATTTCACGCTCCTAAATCACTGGGCTGTGTGTGTCAAGTGATACACTCGATGCATCACCATCGAAACTTTAAAGTGAAGAGTTCTAAATAGGTCACATTACAAACCTTGTGTCAAAGGGGTCAGCCGGAGCACGACCAGCATAATCAGATGTGTGAAAGGGTTAAGACCTAAAACTAAGTAAGGTCTAAGGTAAGGACTAAAACTAGACTCTTGCTGGGTTTGTGACATCACTAACCTTTAAATTTACTTAAAGGGTCACGAAACCCCCCTGTCTCAGCAGGGTGTTTTCACACCTCTAGTTTGGAAAAAGTCAGGAAAGTGGGTGTGTCAAGCTCGGTTTAGGTGGGGGTGTCGAGGGGGGGAAAGAGGGAAGATTTTGCATAAAGATTGGAGTTTCCTTTTGGGCACGCGCTGATTTTCACAGGGGCAAAACAACACACAGACGCAGGGGGAAAAGGCAGTGACTGTGATTACATAGGCATCAGTAATCGAATTATTAGACAAATTCTTAATTTGTCGACTTTAACTGCAGTTTGGCACTTTCACTTTCATTCAGGAACATTTCCTGCAGGCCCCCCGTGACAAACAATAGATTGGATGTGATGAACTGCTGGAAGAGTGTAGTTTTAATGGAATGTCTGATACTGCATGGCGAATGGGAGAAAAAAAGACTCCCCATTTCTCGGTAACTTAGATTCACTCGGTAGGTAACATATTATCAGAAAGCCGTGTGTGTATAGACTATTTTGTCACAAAAGCGGCAAAAAGTCCTACAACACGGTAATAATTTGATTAAGGTGTTTACACATTTACATTCGAAGAGCATCATTTACAGTGGATCTTTCAGCCTATAATTGTAGTAATATTAACGCACTGTAAACTTAGTAACTAAATCATTTTGTCTGAAGTTAGATCTGTAAAAACTGAAAAAGCTGATGATACAAACTAACTTTTTCATCTAAATAAACAAACAAAGGGTACTGATAGATCACTTACCAAATCTATAGAGACCGGACAATCATCACCAATTGGAACAACCTCTTTTTTAAAAGGAGACGAGCAGCAAAATTGAATTTCACCATTTCCAGATGAGAAAAGCTCAACTAAAAAAAAAAAAGTTTCCCTACAAGCGCATTTCAGTCGCCTGTCATGTGCACTGTAATTCACACGTGATTCCAGCTGCGCTCTCATAGCAGGAAAATGAAGACAAAACCTTTGTTGCAGCACATTAATAAATGCAACACTGATGACCAGTGTCTCCAAATTCTTGTTCTTCTTCTTGTTTTGGCAACACAACGTGGCCTCTCACTACCATCTAAACACTGTAACAGGTAAAAGCTTCAAAGCTATCATACATATTAATGAAGTTGCACTGCATACACAATAGAGCTGATTGGTTTGAACCAAGTCTTTCTCATGAATTAATTCTGCACACTTAGAGACGTCACAATGCAGGTACAGACATCCAGTCTCCACGCTGGAATACACACAAGTATCTAATCGCCGTGACGCAGCTTCAAAAATTTGTTTCAAACCGAGAGAACGAATTTGCTCAAAAAACAAAAACAACCAATTTTCACTTTTATAGTGAAATATAGGTGTCCTAATAGTGTTAATAGCAGGGTAGGACACATATATGACTGTCAACAGCTCAAAAAATGTGTTTTGGTGTTTCGTGACCCTTTAACGATTCCGCACAATTAGACTGTTTAACCAATCAAAACACACTGGGTCAGCCAGCCTATTTCTTATTTCTGAGGTTAGGGCTTCAGAGAACCAGAAAGTCAACAAACTTTTTTTTTTAGAGAAAAGTAACCATGCTTTAAAAAATAAATACAATAAACACCTTTTAAAATTCACTCAATCCTCTTTGACATACTGTAAGTGGATTAAATCTTTAATGGTGACACACTTTGACCTCTGATGTCAGTCAGTCCTTCTGATTCAAACACATATTTACATGTGAATGCACATAAACACCGTTGTGAATACAGGCCGGGTGTAATTTAAGATGTAGGTCAGTGGATGGCGAGACTGTGCATGACATCATCTCCACTGGCATGCCCTTCATTCCATGAAACTCTGGCGTGCTCACAATGCCACTTCAGTCTTGTTTGTCTGGTTTCCTCAGACTCTTGCTCTTTTGTAACAAGGTGCTGCACATTCCCTAAAGCTTTGAACAAGAGCTGAGGCAGCTGTGGACTCAACTTTTAGAACATGTTATATATTTTATGATGTAGGTTTGTTTTTATTCTTTATAGTTTAAATTTTTGTCTGTGATGACAAAGCTGATTTTATCTTTTCACCCATTACTCCAGTTTTTACAGTCCCATAATCTCCTAGAAATCACCAATGACTTAACTTTGATAAAACAATAACAACAATAAACAATAAAACAATACGTAAACATATTTTATCATAAATAAATATGCTTATATTTACTACTTTATGTAGTAGTAGCAGCAGTAGTAGTAATAGTAGTAGTGGCAGTAGTAGCAGTAATAGCAGCAGTAGTATTAGTAGTAGTAGCAGTAGTAGTAGTAGTAGTAGCAGCAGTAACAGTAGCAGTAGTAGTAGTAGTAGCAGTAGTAGTAATAATAGTAGTAGTCGTAGTAGCAGTAACAGTAGTAGTAGCTGCAGTAGTAGTAGTAGCAGCAGTAGTGTTAGTAGTAGTAACAGTAGTAGTAGCAGTAGTAGTAGCAGTAGAAGCAGTAACAGTTGTAGCAGTTGTAGTAGTAGCAGTAGTAGCAGTAACAGTAGTAGTAGTTGTAGTAGCAGTAGTAACAGTAGTAGTAGTAGTAGTAGCAGCAGTAGCAGTAGTTTTAGTAGCAGTAGTAGTAGTGGCAGTAGTAATAGTAGCAGTAACAGTAGCAGTAGTTGTAGTAGCCGTAACAGTTGTAGTTGTAGCAGTAGTAGTAGCAGTAGTAGCAGTATTAGTAGTAGCTGTAACAGTAGTTGTAGTAGCAGTAGTAGTAGTGGCAGCAGTAATAGTAGCAGTAACAGTAGTTGTAGTAGCAGCCGTAGTAGTGGCAGCAGTAGTAGTAGCAGTAGTAGTATTAGTTGTTGTAGTAGCAGTAGTTGTAATAGCAGTAGTTGTAGTAACAGTAGTTGTAATAGTAGTAGCAATCGTACAGTGCATTCGGAAAGTACTCATAGTGCTTTACTTTTTCCACAATTTTTACGTTACAGCCTTATAAGTTATGGTCTGAGAGTCCTTCAGATGCCTTTTGGCAAATTCCAGGCGGGGAGTGGCTTCCGTCTGGCCACTCTACCATACAGGCCTAATTGGTGGATTGCTGCACAGATGGTTGTCCTTCTGTAAGGTTCTCCTCTCTCCACAGAAAAACGCTGGAGCTCAGACAGACTGACCATCGGGTTATTGATCACCTCCCTGACTAAGGCCCTTCTCCCCCGATCATTCAGATTAGATGGCCAGTTCTAGGAAGAGTCCTGGTGATTCCAAACATCTTCCACTTACGGATGATGGAGGCCACTGTGCTTACTTTCAGAGCAGCAGAACTTTTTCTGTATCCTTCCCCAGCCTTGTGCCTCAGGACAATCCTGTCTCAGACGTCTACAGACAATTCCTTTGTCTTCATGCTTGGTTTGTGCTTTGACATGCACTGTCAACCCTGGGACCTTATACAGACAGGTGTATGCCTTTTCAAATCATGTCCGATCAACAGAATTTACCACAAGTGCACTCAAATAAAGGTGCTGAATCATTTTAAGAATGATCAGTGGAAACAGAATGTACCTGAGCTCAATTTAGAGCTTCACGACAAAGGCTGTCAATACTGTATGTATATGCGATTTTTCAGGTTTTTTATTTGCAATAAATTTGCTACTATTTCAAAAAGTATTTTTTTCACATTGTCATTGTGGGGTATTGAGTAGAGTTTTGAGGAAATAAATGAATTTAATCCATTTTGGAATTAGGCTGTAACATAAAAAATGTGGAAAAAGTGAAGCGCTATGAATACTTTTCAGATACTGTGTGTGTGTGTAAATATATATAAATAAAACATGCGCTATAGGTGAATTGAATAAATTAGTCATAGTGTATAAGTGTGTGTGTGTGCGAATTTGAGAGTGTAAGGGTGTTTCCCAGTATTGGGTTGCGGCTGGATGGGCATCCGCTGCAAAAAACAAATGCCAGAATAGTTGGTGGTTCATTCTGCTGTGGCAACCCCTGAAATAGAGACTAAGCTGAAGGAAAATTAATGGATGAATAAATTTAAAATGTTTGAAACCTAAGTAAATTATTAAAATAAATTATAGTATAATGAAACCATATTTTGCAGTCTTGACGTTTTGATCATCTAATATTTTGTACAATATGTATTTCATTTATATATTGATTTCATTTTATTTCATATATTTATTTGTATATATTACTGTATCTGCACATTTTACTGTGTGGATAATATTATGTTAGTCTCAAACTTTTATCTTGACAGTTTTCGCATCCAACTGTAAGTAAATGAGTATCCCAGAACACACAAATGTGTCCAAACTGCAACAGAAATATATCTTTTTACTGTATACTGCATATACCTATCATCATCCTATAGCTTCATCCTAATTGTTGAGTCCTGCAGCTGCTCAGAGCTAAACGTAATAGTGTTTGTATGCTTTCCATGTTGCGCTTCAAGCTTTCCCAGCTGTGCTCGCTGCCAGGAAAACAAAAACCATAACCTTTCAAAAGATGTAAAGTGCGGTAATAACTCTGACGGTTTGTGTCTTTGTCACGTCTCCTCTGTTTTCTTGTATGTATTGGTCTTGTCCTTGCTATGATTGAGCGCTGCCGCAAGGTCTGGTTTTTGCACCTGTTTTCTGTTGCTCTTGAAGGAATGACTGCATCACTCAGCTTCTCAATCTTCTCTCTTTTAGATATTTTCAGTGACCTCTGCACCGCCGCACTCACCGATACGGAGGACGATATCGGTGGGACAAATCCTGCTCAGGACGGCAGATTTACATGCTAAACATCCCATGATGTGTCTTCGATTTCCACAGCACCATCCTTATCCACAATTTTCTCTACAATGCAATGAGGTGGCATTATTTTCCTCTGTTCCTCATCCTGTATTATAAAAGCATCTTATTAGAATGAACAAATTACTTTATGCAGACCACAAATAACCACACAAACTCAAAACAAGCCTTTCTGCCTCAATAGAACGTGTGTTGTTATTACTGTATTGTAGGAAATACAAAGAGAAATTAATCTGGAGGATTAAATCTCCACACATATGATCGTGACACTAATGTCATTAAAATAGTGAGTGCAATGTTATTTTGATGAAAATAAAGCACAAAGCCAAACATACCTCATAGTTTGGGATCAATACGATTTTTTAAGTGTTTTTTTTTTTTTAGACTATTCCGTTCATCAAGGATTCATTTATTTAATTGGAAAAACAAATACTGTACAGTAAAAACTGCATAAATTATGAAACATTATTACGGTTAATATGATAGTTATCTTAGTGAATGTAACTTTAAATTGAGTTCATTCATGTGATTTGAGCATCAGTAGTCTCCATCTACCTTTTTTTCTGGGCATTTTGCATATGCACATAAAAAAAACAGTTGATGAAAACGCCATGATGCGAATAAATTTTGAAAATACGCATAAAAAAACTTAAAACGATAATAAAAGATGTGCATAAACTACGATGGAAACACTTTTACCGCACAAATTTCAGAATGCGCATTAAAAAGATCATGTGATTTTGTGATAAGAGATCATGTGATGATGAAAATGTGTGTGAATGGACAAACCAGCAGGCTGAGCACATTGTAAAACATCTAAAATGTTGTTTTGGTCATTCTAAAACCGCCTTAACCGTTTCAGTATTAGTGTTGTTATATTATTAATGACCTCCAGAATCAAGAGCGTCTGTGCTCCGTGTCTGACACCGTCAAATGCCACTGCACGTTCACTGCCTGTCAGGATCGCCTTCTGAGGCGCACGTCATTTATTAGATGAAGAAAAGATTGCCCAGCTTCTCCTACCTCAGTAAATTCAGTTTTTTTGCTGTTAATATTTGGCGCCAGTTAGTCAGGAAGTGGCAATTTTGTTCGCTTTGACTCGTGGGATGGAATCGCAGCTTTATTTGAACGTCTTTTATGCGATAATCCAGTTTTGCAATCCAGTTCTTTCGCATTTTTGGATGGAAACATAGCTATGTTATATCATAACATAGCATAATCCTTCAGAGAAAATTATTATATCCTGATCTGCTGTTCAGGAAACATTTATTATCGTTACCATCAACGTTAAAAAAGCTTGGGCTGTTTCATATTTTTGTGGAAACTGTGTGTCATGGTTGTGGCTTGGGAAAAAGGAGCGAGGACTCAATTGCAGAAAATAATATGGGTTGTATTATTAATAATAACATTTTTTAAAAAGGCAAAACAAACAGATGAACATAATTAACTAATAATGGGTTAACAAGGAGGGTGGGACTAGACAATAGGCGAGAGAGCACATGACACAGAGACAACACAAGCCATGTGCTCACATAAATAGGGGCAAAAACACGTAGCCAATGAGAGAACTCATTAACCACGTGTTCACAATAACAGGACAATGCTAAAGCACGCAGCCACAATGTAAACACAGAGCCACGTGCTTGGACAACACAAATAGACGCAAAACACAAGCACACCTTACCGTGCACTCAAACATATGCAACGCGCATGTTTCATCTCAGCGTCAACTAATACAGAAACCAACTAGACGGAGATGCTGAGAATGAAACAGCGCGATGCCGACAGAACAAAACACAAACACGAGTACAAGAGTGCGCGCGCACACAGAGACACACACAATGACAGAAACAGGACAAGACAGAGCTAGTGTCCGGACTCTGCCACCAAAACAAGAATCTATAAGACCAGAGTGGCAGAACCCTAACAAAAGGACCATTACAATTTATTTCTCTTAATTCATCTAGGATACAATAAATTGTTCAAGAGTGAAAGTATAATAGACATTTAGAATGCGAAAATCTATCATATGTATCATACTTTCTGCAAAACTAAAGGCTGATTAAGGGGCTGAGTGGGGCCTTTTTTAAATGATTTACTAACGGCCACAAGCTTTGTGCGTGGTGCTTATGTGCCCTACGCTCTTTGCATTTTAGTCCTTGCGTGCCGTGCCCTCGTAGTTGAAAAAAGGTAAACTCTGAGCTGAAAAAGTGAGTCAACGTCAGTCACATCTCTTTCATTCTCCAATCAAATGTTAGCAGAGGCTGGGTTTCCGTTGAGGTGACTGCAGTGTTTGTGTTGTCAAGACGACTACGGAGACTTTTAAACAAGGTTATTATAATTAACAAAAACGAAAGAAGAAACGAAATTAAAATGTAAAATAATTGTCGTTAACTGAAATAAAAATAAAAACGAGAGTTTTTCAAAAAACTAGAACTAACTGAAACTGTATTGTGTATATACAAAATAACTGAAACTAACTAAAATTATAGCAAAAACCTCCGTTTTCGTATTTGTAAATGTATTTAATACATATTCTTACTGTAAACGGTTTAGAAGTAAATATAACTTGCGCTGCAGGTGTTTGACCCATACGGCACCTCACAGTCTGTAATCCTGCTGCCTGCCATCGAGCTGTTTCTCCTCCAGTCATTCTAGCTGTTGCTCCTGCGACACAAGCAACGAGTGAACATCACAGCAGCAAGGTGACAGCATTACAGGCACTGAATGGGCCATGAAACCCCCTCGTTTCAGCAGGGTGTTTTCACACCTCTACTTTGGAAAAAGTCTGAAAAGTGGGCGTGTCCAGCTCTGTTTAGGGGGGAGTGTTGGAGAAAGAAAAGAGGCATGGTGTGGGAGTGTCTATTTAGGCACGCGCTGTGTTATTCCGGTCACAAACTGCGGTGAAAATCCTACAAGAGGTTAAAGTTTGGTTGTGGTGCTAACATGTTTACACTCGGTGTAATAGTTTGTTCGATATGAACAAACTAAATAAACAAAGAGCACTGGTCGCTCACTCACCAAATCTGTAGAGACAGGACAATCACCAGCAACTAGAGCTGCGTCTTTATTAAGAGAAGACTACAAGCGAATCCGGATCTCAGCGTTTGCAGATGAGAACAGCTCTCAGGTAAACAATAATCTCCCTTAGACACGTAAGTTATTGTTGTTGAGCGTCGCGTACACTGTAATCCACGCGTGACTCCAGCTGAGCTCTCACTAAGAGAAAATAAAAACAAACCTTAACTGCAGCAAACTATAAAAGCAACACTTTTAACATGCTTGTTTTGCCAACACATTGTGGCGTTTCTGTCGTCTAAACACTGTGACAGTAATGAATATTAATGATGTTGCACAATAGAGCGCGCTGATTGGTTTGAACCAAGCCTTACTCATGCATTAATGCAACACACTGTTAATAAGACACACTCTGGCACAGACGTCCAGTCTGCACGCTGGAATACAACGCTATTATGTCATGGCCGTGACGCAGCTTCAAAAATTTGTTTTAAACCGGAAGTACGAATTTGCTTGAAATAATGCAAAAACAACCAATTTACACTTTTTAGTGAAATATAGGTGTCCTAATAGTGTTTTTAGCAATGTGGGACACATGCGACTGTCAACAGCTCAAAAAATGTGTTTTGGTGTTTCGTGACACTTTAAAACTATTACTTTAACACATTTGTGTCCAATATGGGTTTTATTTCTGTATCAACTACACTTGCAGTGGGTATACCAAGGGCTTAAGTTAGAATCTGGTAAAAAAAAAAGTAAGTTTATTTCATAACAGAAAATCATAATGTAATTTAAATAAGTGAATCATACTTCAGTTGGGTTGCAAAATTTTACTGTAAGACATTTTTCAGATCATGGTGATGTTTTAACTGACTGAAATTACTATTGATGACAACAGTTTTGGTATGTTGAGTCCTAACATCCGCGTTAAATATCTGAACTTCCCATGACTACTGTGTATCTAATCTCAGAGCAGCCTTGCACACATATTGTACTTAAGGCTGCTATCTTGTGGGCTTTGCATTTGGATTTGAGGATGGGTGTGGTTTTGATAAGTGATAGTGTCCATGTATCCTCTAAATACAGGTTTTGAGATAAAGAATGGCTGACTGTATTTTTATTATACAATATTTATTTTAATGATTTTGAACAAATATTCTTATTTAGAAAAAAATAAACTAAAACTGAAACTAAAAAAATAGTAAATCTGCCCTTAAAACTAATTTAAAACTAACTGAATTTGAAAACAAAAAGTCAAAACTAAATAAAAAACTAAAACTAATGAAAAATCAAAAACTGTTATAACCTTGCTTTTAAAGAGGGAGGATAGACTTGTGGTTGCTGTTTTGAGTTATCCTGTTCTGTATGAATTACAAATTTTTAATTTGCGACATAAAACACATTTTCATCCAATGAGTCAAAAAGTCCGGCACAGCCTTCGCAAAGTCGCATAGCCCTCGCCTTGGCTGACACCGATGCTGACGCATACCTCTCAAAAAATAACTACACATCGCAACGACGCGTATCGTAAGTTTGGTATTGGTGAAGAGCGTGGGCGGTTTCAGGAGCTGCGAGCCCGCTGGAATAAGTGTCGAGTCTTGTGAAGAAGCTCCATATGGAAACTTTTGTTTTATGTTTACCTTGTGATTAAAGTTGTCGCACATCCGCTGATTCCTGCCTCTGAATGAGCGAATTTGAGCTACTTGTAAAAACTCGACACAGAGGAACATAAAAACCTGCTGCCAGCTAGCGTTTTGGAAGTGTTATTGCAGAGCAACACAGAGCGCGCAGGAGTATAAATACAACACAAATACGTGCAAGGCAGGCGCTGTGGGTCTTGTCGATCACTCGATGCAGAAGTTAAAATCAGCCTTAATAAACAGGAAAAACTGTTTCAATGTTGGAAGTAAGAATCGGTATTTATAATTGAGTGAAAATAACAATTATAAGGAACAGATTACGACTTGTAAATTGTAATCTGATTATATTACTTCAAAAGTGACAAAAGTAAAATTGAAAAAAAAAAACACACTGCAAAGTCAGAATTTTATTTAAAAATAAGGATTGACAGAAAAATATTACAAAGGTTTGAAGAGCAATTTGAAATAATAAAAGATTCAATTAATTTCTGGAACTATATGTACATGTTAACTTTTTTATTAACTGTGAGAGCATTATAGACAGAAGAAACATAAATAAAAATATAAACAGTTCTGATAACATTTCAAATACAGTACTGGCAAACATGCCTAACATGTAAATGCCCAATACCTGACTCTGCCATGCAAAATGTGATTTTAAAAGGCATATAATTCT